GAAAAGGGGCATTCCTGACTTTTCTGGCTCAGGAAATGTGGAGGGGAGTGTCTTTCAAATATTTTTAAAAATAGACTGCAAATTGCAACACCAGTACAGCTCATTACAACAGTCCCACAATGTAGCCCATAATGCATATTGCAGATGTGGGGCTAGGCTAAGGCTGGTATAGAACAGTGCAGTGCAACCCTCATTGCAAACCGAGGGTCAGGCTGAAGTTGAAAGAAAGGAGTATACAACCATCCGTACTATATAGTCCAGTCTTAGCACTGTCGATCAGAGTGGGGTCTGAATTGGGGTTTGCATTTATTACCCCAAACAAAACACTCCTAACACTCAGTTGAATGTAGAAGCCTTGTGCTTCGTTGACTTGCATGCAACCATGTTACAGAACTGTAAAATGCAAAAACAAAAAACTCAGACGAAAGAGTTCTGTTTTTCCTGGTACAGTACATTGAACTGCTGGAAAGATAGGTTGCTATCAAGTTACACATTCACTAAAATCCTGACTTTTCTCCCTTGATTTCCATAGTCGGCTTTCACTTCCCTGAAGTTGGGGGGGGGGAGGGGGAAATTGTATTGAAACCGGAAATCATCCCTACTTCTTAGTCTGTAATTACAAATCTATGGTGTAGACAACAGGAAGTACAGGTGTCTGGAAACTATAGACTTGAGAATATGTTTAGAGGAAATCGCTAAACATGCAGCTAAGAGTCAAAAGACTGCTCTTTCAGGAATTTATCCCTCCCAGCCTGCACTATGGTGATATTATTTGTTAATGTAGTCACTGAAAAATCTTTTTTTAAGAAACTATCAATACTTGAATTATTTCCTGCACTGTTTATCTGTGCTGTTGTATATTTAATAATATGTAGCTGACAGTTCTAAACTGAAAATTAACTGGTTATCTATCAGTATCTACCTCACCAGATACTGTGGAGAAGATAATAGAGGTCAGCTGTGATAACACACACAGAAAACCTATAGTGAGACGGTAAAACACTGGTAGAAAGGTAAAGTGACCCCTGACCATTAGGTCTAGTTGTGACCGACTCTGGGGTTGCGGCGCTCATCTCCCTTTATTGGCCAAGGGAGCCGGCGTTTGTCTGCAGACAGCTTCTGGGTCATGTGGCCAGCATGACTAAGCCGCTTCTGGCAAACCAGAGCAGTGCACAGAAACGCCGTTTACCTTCCCTCTGGAGCGGTACCTATTTATCTACTTGCACTTTGATGTGCTTTCGAACTGCTAGGTTGGCAGGAGCAGGGACCGAGCAATGGGAGCTCACCCCGTGGCGGGGATTCGAACTGCCAACCTTCTGATCAACAAGTCCTAGGCTCTGTGGTTTAACCCACAGCGCCACCCGCGTCCCACTGGTATACATAGCCATTATCTCAGCCACAGGTGCCTCTCCCCAATGCAATATGTAGATGGAGTGTGTGTGTGCTTGCTCGTTTATTAAGCTGAAATCTAAAACACTAAAACAAAAATCTCAGAAACTAAGACTCGAGTAACAAATAAGCCAAGGAAGCAATTTCTTTGCTGCTATGCTTTGTTTAGAGCTGGGCAGAATCACATATAGAATCATAGAACTGTAGAGTTGGAAGGGACCACCAGGGTCATTAGTCTAACTCCCTGCCACGCATGACCCTCAGCTAGAGCATCCATGGCAGGTGGTCATCCAACTTCTGCTTAAACACCTGCAAGGAAGGACAGGGCACCACTTCCCATGGGAGCTTGTTTCACTGCTGAATAGCTCTTACTGTAAGAAAGTTCTTCCTGATGTTTAGTCGAAATCTCCTTTCTAGCAACTTAAATCTACTGGTTTGGGTCCTATCCTCCAGAGCAAGAGAAAACAAGCTCGCCTCATCTTCCATTTGACAACCCTTTAGATCAGGGGTAGGCAAACTAAGGCCCGGGCGCCGGATGCGGCCCAATCGCCTTCTCAATCCGGCCCACAGACGGTCCGGGAATCAGCGTGTTTTTTCATGAGTAGAATGTGTCCTTTTATTTAAAATGCATCTCTGGGTTATTGTGGGGCATAGGAATTCATTCACCCCCCCCCAAAAAAAATAGTCCAGCCCACCACATGATCTGAGGGAGAGTGTACTGGCCCACGGCTGAAAAAGGTTGCTGACCCCTGATTTAGATATTTGAAGATTCGGGTGGCGCTGTGGGTTAAACCACAGAGCCTAGGACTTGCTGATCAGAAGGTCAGCAGTTCGAATCCCCACGACGGGGTGAGCTCCTGTTTCTCGGTCCCTGCTCCTGCCAACCAGCAGTTTGAAAGCATGTAAAAGTGCAAGTAGATAAATAGGTACCACTCTGGTGGGAAGGTAAACGGCGTTTCCGTGTGCTGCTCTGGTTTGCCAGAAGCGGCTTAGTCATGTTGGCCACATGACCCGGAAGCTGTACGCCGGCTCCCTCGGCCAGTAAATTGAGATGAGCGCCGCAACCCCAGAGTCAGCCACGACTGGACCTAATGGTCAGGGGTCCCTTTACCCTTTACCTTTATCATATATCCTCTCAGACTCCTCTTTTCCAGGCTAAACATACCCGACTTGATCGTTCCTCATAAAGCTTGGCATCCAAACCCTTTATCATCTTGGTTGCCCTCCTCTGCCCGCATTTCAGCTTGACAATATCCATCTTAAAGTTTCAGCTTGACAATATCCATATCCGCATTTCAGCTTGACAATATCCATCCCAGGTCAGCCATGGGGCATATCTAGGAGTTGGCAAGGCTGGCCCTTGCCAAGGGCCCAGGCCAGGGGGGGAGCAAAAATTACTGCCCACCCTCCCACCCACCTATGTCCTCTCCTTGCACCTAAACAGCTTTTTGCCAAGGGTGCAGGGGAACCTAGGTGTTATGTACTGAAGTTCTCATCCTGGGCCAGCAGGGGGATACTCTAGATAGTTCAGGTCCACATATGCAAATAAGGGATTGAAAGTGACGTTCAGTGATTGGATAGTTACAGAAAATGGTTACTGTTGCGTTCTAGTGGAGCTCTATATAAGCAGGCTGGCTGAACCCTTCAGTTCAGTTCTGTTCTGGCCTGTGAATAAACAAGAGCTGCTTGACGAATCGCTGTGTCGTCTGATGTGTTCACCCACAACTTAACACTAGGTACACCTTTGCTTGCAACATAAAGACACACAAAACCACAAAATATTTAAATATGTAAAATCACACACACACATAACAAACGAAGACAATGACCCACCCCCAAAAGTCCACAGACCGTGCAATTGTATTAAATCCCAATCACTGATAGCTTAGTTGGTACAGCATGAGAGCCTTAATCTCATGGTTGTGGGTTCAAGCCTCAGGTCGGGTGAAAGATTCCTGCATTTCAGGGGGTTGGACTAGATGACCCTTGTGGTCCCTTCCAACTCTATAATTCTATCTGTTATGGATGATCTAGTTCAGATTCCTGCATTGCAGGGGGTTGGACTAGATGACCCAGCTCGGATGGTCCCTTCCAATTCTTAAGATTGTATGGGCAGCGGCCGTTTCTTCGAGAGCGCTTTGAAAAATAAATAAAAGATGCCCAAGAAAGATGTTAAATTATTTTTGTATGCCACAACTGCTGCTCATATTTTGTTAGCTAAAAAGTGGAAACCCCAAGAATTAGCAATGATAGAAGAATGGCAGATGAAGATGATGGATTTTCGGAGCTAGCCGACTTAACCGGAAGAGTCTGTGACCAGAAGGAGGAGGAGTACCAGGAAGATTGGATTAAATTTAATGATTACTTAGTTAAACATGTTCAGTTAAAATAACTGAAAACAGCTTGCAGATACTTAATTGGCTTAAGATTTTATTTATGTTAAGTGATGAATTAATATGTTTAATTTCATAACGTGAAGATCTAAGGATGTTAATGTTTAAGTTAAATTTTATAAGAACTGTGATTTGGAAAACCGTTAAAAGGACATACAATGAAATTCAACCAAGGGGAAGCGAGGGAGTCACTTAACAACAAGTGTAATTTTCGGTGATGGACTATATGGAACTGGCGGAAATGACCGGCAGAATCCGAGACCAGAGAGAAAAGTTGGTGGAAGAAGATTGGAAGAAATTTAAAGACTATTTACAGAAATACTGCAAAATTAATGAATGTTAGAATGATGTTGGATTGAAGTTAAGTGGTTTTCAGCAGTAATGCTATAAAGATGTGTAAAAATGGATTGGTAACAGGGGATAATCTAAAGTTATAATATATTAAGATTAAAGATTAGGATAAAAACAAAGAGGGAAAGGATTTGCTGAACCAACTAATTGAACTGGATACAAAAAAGGGAGGTGTGAGGAGGTCTGGGGAACAAGCGAATGAAAGATAAGACACGGGAAGATTGAATCGTTTTTAACTGTTTTTACTTTGTATTTTTTCTTTTTTCTTTTTGTAACATTTTGAAAACTTTAATAAAAATCTTTTTTTTAAAAAAACCAACAAGTGTAATTTTCAATAAGGCTATGGTTTATGTTTGTGTTTGTTTGTTTATAATGTTGTGAAAACCAAAAAAAAAAAAAAAATGGGAAAAGAAAGAAAGAAAAAGAAATGAAAGAGACCCGGAATAACTTCCGTTGCCGCTGCCAGCCCTTCTCTACCCTTAAGCAGCTCTATGAAACAGAAAACGAGAGGGAAGCGGAGGGCGTCCTCTTCCGCTCGGGGAGAGCCACGCATGCGCGCGAGGGGGGCCTGCTTCTCTCTCTCTCTCTCTCTCTGCCTCAGGATTCCGGAGTCGGTTCCTTGAGAGACGTTTGTGGGAAGGAAGGAGGAGAGGAGGAGAAGCGGGGAGCCAGTGGCGCCACACGGGCGAGCGGGCGGGCCCCTCCGAGGCTCCTGGGGCTCCGCCGCCGAGCGGCTGAGGGAAGGGAGGCCGGTTCTGAGGGGAAGGCGGGCGGGCGGGCGGGCGGCGCTGAGGAGGCCCGGCATGCGGTGAGCCCCCCTCAGGCTTCGCGCTCCGGACCCCGCCGCCGCCCCCGGGAGCCGCCTCGGGATGAGCGCCGCCGCTCCGCCTCAGGCCGCCGGGGCGCGGGGGCCTCCCTGCGGAGAGGGAGACGCTGCCGGGACGGCTTCCCTGCGCGGAGCGGCGCGCCGGCCCTCCTGAGGGAGGAGGCGGAGGAGGAGGAGGAGGCCTGCTAGCTGCTCCGCCGACCGGAGATTGAACCGCCGTCCCCCGCCGCCGCCTCGTCTCGTCTCGCTTCGCCCTCGCCGCCCTCGCCGCCGCCGCCTTCGCGATGACGACCCCGGCGCTGCTTCCGCTCTCGGGCCGCCGCATCCCGCCTCGCAACCTGGGCCCGTCGTCGTCGTCGTCCTTCCCGCACCACAGGGCCACCTTGAGGCTCTCGGAGAAGTTCATCCTCCTGCTGATCCTCAGTGCCTTCATCACGCTCTGCTTCGGGGCCTTCTTCTTCCTGCCGGACTCCTCCAAGCACAAGCGCTTCGACCTGGGCCTGGAGGACGTCCTCATCCCCCACGTGGACGCCGGCGAGGGGGGCAAGAACGCCGGAGGGGGGTACCTGGTCCACGGGCAGGGCCGAGACCAGCACAGGCACAGGTAGGCCCTCAGGCCAATGCTGCTGCTGCTGCTGCTATTATTATTATTATTATTATTATTATTACTGGTGGGATGGGGTTGGGTAGTCCGCGGGTCTCAAACTCAGTGATTTAGGGGCTTCCCCTGCACGCAAAGCCAAGCTCTGGTGGATTGCACAGACAATACCAATACAGTGGTACCTCAGGTTACATATGCTTCAGGTTACAGACTCCGCTAACCCAGAAATAGTACCTCGGGTTAAGGACTTTGCTTCAAGATGAGAAGCAAAGGTTAAGAACAGTTTCAGGGTAAGAACGGACCTCCGGAACGAATTAAGTACTTAACCCGAGGTACCACTGTATTATTATTGGTGGGATGGGGTTGGGTAGTCCATGGGTTTCAAACTCAGTGATTTAGGGGCTTCCCCTGCATGCAAAGCCAAGCTCTGTTGGATTGCGCAAACAATACCAATAGTGGGTCCATGGTCAAGGTGGTTTCTTCATGGTGGGCTATATAGAGAGGAATGAGGGCAGGTGGGGCTTGTCAACCTGGGAAGGTATCCCATCAAGGAGAAGGAAAACACTGATCCTAAACGTCTGTTGCCTTGTGGGATACTTTTTGGGAGAAGAAAAAGCTATGGAGTAAGCCCTTCACAAATCTGGAGTGGCAACCCTAAGACTGTTGGGTGGCACTTTGTATGCCTTCTTCCAGCAACTCCTGCAGCCAAGCTGGTGCCAAGCGTATTGCTCTGCTTTCCTTTGGACCACATCAGTGAGGCTGAGAGGGAGGTCTTGTCCTCTGGACAGCTCAGGACCTCCATACACACTGCCTAGGCTTGCAGCCTGGGGAGGACATGTCAGTGCTAATGCAGCGATTTGACTTCAGCCTTGGAGGTGCACTCCATTGTGTCTCGAAACAGACAGATGCTGACAACAAGAGGTGGAGTGTTGTATACAGGAATAGGTTTCAGGCCTGGCTTAATGTGGTGTGCTGCCTTGGTGAAGAATCACTGTGTGCTGTCAGGTTACGTTCACATCACAGGTGTCCAGAAAGAGGAGTTGTCAAGACCTGATTCGCCAGTGCACCTTACTTACTGTATTCAAATCCTGCCTTTCCTTCAAGGAGCTCAAGGTGGCATGCATATTTCTCCTCCCACTACCCATTTAATCCCAGCAACAACCCTGTGAGGAGTGTTAGGCTGAGAGGCCGTGACTGGCCCAGGGTCACCCAGTGAGAGCTTCATGACCAAGCGGGGGATTCGAACCCTGGTCTGTCAGTACTCTTAACTGCTGCTTCACACTGGCTCTTGTTTGCTTTTTCCCTCCCTGTCCCTGCTAGCAGTGGCTGTCCCCATGGAAAGCAACCCTAGATTTTAGACTAATGAAAGCCAGTTGTGTATTGGTCTCCTACCATTTTGAGGTGGGGCAGTGGGAAGTTAAATGGCCATTCCTTCTGGGGCAAGTCTTTGGAGCTGTTAGGAGTAGAATGAGTGAATACTTTAGATCAGAGGCTGGGAACCTCTTTCAGCTGCATTCACTTCTTGGCAACCTTCAGGGGACCACATGCCAGTGGTGGGTAAGACCAGAGGCAAAAGTGGGCTATTTTCTGCATGCACTTGTATACCCTTCTCTGTCCTCCACTAGGGAACCAAAAGGCATTACAGTGGTACCTCGCGTTACATACACTTCAGGTTACATACGCTTCAGGTTACAGACTCCACTAACCCAGAAATAGTACCTTGGGTTAAGGACTTTGCTTCAGGAGGAGAACAAAAATCATGCTCCGGCGGAGCGGTGGCAGCAGGAGGCCCCATTAGCTAAAGTGGTACCTCAGGTTAAGAACAGTTTTAGGTTAAGAATGGACCTCTGGAACGAATCAAGTACTTAACCTGAGGTACCACTGTATCAGAATACAAGGACACATTCCAGCTAGGCAAAAACACTCAAAGAGGGTACAAAGACAGGTCAGTGAGGGGTGTGGCCTAGGGAATGTTCTGGGGGGCCAGATAGAGGGTCTGGAGGGCCTCCTATGGACCCTGGGTTCCTCACCCTTGTTTTAGGTGGGGCTGGTGACTGATCTACCGCCTACCCTTATTAGATGTAGGCACAGCAGGAACTGCCACAGACTGAAAAACACGGTTACATCTATATTGTGTCTGATAACCTGAAGAGCTATGTAACAACTTGGGAGAAAAGAGCATATATAAGTCCTCACAGCAGGAACCTGTGCCACAAACCCTGGCATTATATAAACCTTTAGAATATCCTCCATATGCACTCATACCCAGCTATGAGTAGAGTTGGTGTGTCATTTTATACAATGCTCTTAGCAAATGGAACACAAAAAGATCAATTAAAAGAGTGCCTTTTCAGTACCCATTTTGTATGGAACAGGATAAAAGAGGGGCAGCACCAAAAGAACAGAGTACAGTACAAATAGTCTGCGCTGGGAGAGAAAAAAATGAATTACACTAGGAGTTCAGTAATAAAATTACTATTTTTGAACCTTATTTTATGGCTTTATGGGGCAAGCGTAATGATGTCTATTCAGAAGTAAGTCTAGATGAATTTGAGTGTGGAATACAAGAAGCAAAGGTATATAATGAAATCATTTTACTACTGAAGAATAACATTAAGGTAGTAGCAAACATAATTAGAAAAACTACTGGCAGGATCTTCAGTTATTTTAAATAATTTTACCTCACTTTTACTTTGCTGCAGCTTACAGCAAAAAATAAAAACCAAATTCATCAACATTATAACTTAACACGATGAACCTAACCCCGCCCCCAAATCAGCTGAACTCACAGTCAATTCCTAGTCTCCAAAGGCCAGAACAGACAGATGGATCCTGTGATGTGGTACAGTTTTCTGTGTAGAATAAAATGCTGGGAAATGATATTTGCTCTTTTCAGAAAACCATTGAGGTTATAGCCATAGAATTTTGTATGTTGTGTTTTACACTTTGCTCTTTCCTTGGCTGCATTTTTTAAAGAAAACACACTGGATTGATTTGAACTTGACACATATTGACTTGTGTCCCATGCTGTTCTTTCATTCTTCCCTTCTTCATGCACCACAACTGAATAATTCCTGGGTTCATTCCTGCTCCTGAACTTGGAAATTGGGGTTATCAAACAGGGCTTGGTAGCAAAGTTTTTGTTTTTATTAGCCAGCTATGAAGCATATACTACTGTCAACAAATATACTAACTGATGACATTACATAACACTCTATGTAGGCTGAAAACATTTTTTTTGTTTGAACCTATTGACAGGTTTTTCTCTCCCTTTCAAAAAGGGTTTTATATAACTATTTCTAATAGGACTATAAAATGTAGAGGCAACATGGCATTTTGCCAATAAGATGCTTATTTTGATTTTCTAAGAAATTTTATAACAAAAATGAAGGAAGAATTATCAGAGAGTTGGGGCATCTTAAAGATTAAAGTTGTTTGTGACATGAGTTTTCATAGGCTAACACCTGCTTCTCAGTTTTTTCCAAGCTTTTGCATAGGTTCAATCTGTAAAAAAAGTTAACCATTTTTTAAACCAAGGCTTATCTTCAGCCAGTTCAAATGCAATCTTTAGTTCTGAGCAAGAAAAATAATTTTACAAAGAAGTATCTAAATGGCTAGTCTGAAGTAGCAACCCTATCTAAGAAGAAAAGAGTAGTATCCAGTTTCTGCTTGCTTCTTTTCCTTACTCTTACTCTTTTTTATTTTTAGTATTTATCCCCTTGCAGTTCATTCAAGTAAAAACTCTGACTGCAAAAATGTTACCGTCTGAAAGAAAAAATCAAGCTCCATCTTCCAGCCCCCCAGCATTGTTTTAAAAAATGGAATCCCTACTTGCTCTGATTAATTAGGTAAAATGCACAATAGTAAAACCAAAATGCTTTCCTGAACCTAGTTACAGGCAGCAATCATTTTGCACATGTCTGATTGACACACAACCACTGACACATACGCTTTCGGCCCGGAAGGGGGCGGGGGCAGAATGGGCTTATTCACAACTGCTGACACCCACAATGAGTTGCCTGCATTATCTTGCAATTACCTCATACACTCACCAAAACAGGAAGTATTTAGCTATAACTACCCTGGTGAGTGGATCTGTCAAAGCCTTTTACCACCTTTGCAACAAACCAGGAACTGAAATAATTGGAAGTTGGTGTTTCCCAGTTTCAGGCATGTTGGGAAACTGGTTAATTAATTTACTTAGGCAGTCTTCGGTTGTGCATGGAGAAGGAGCGGGAAAGGGTTCAGTAAGGGCAGGGTGTCTGGGTGCAAGGTTTGCGTTTATTTTAGCTTAATAAATGTGAGATATATTGTGGCTGAACTGGGGTGTCACACTTACATTTATTGTGGAGTAAGTACCCCACTACTGGACACTTCTCATGAGCTAGCATTCATAAATGGACAAGGAAGAGTATTGACCTGCACTCTTATTTAAGGAGGAGTGCATATTTCTGCCTGGGTGGTTTTTTGGGGGTTTTGTTTGTTTTTTTGCTTTGCCCTCTGAATGAAAGCAGGATTAAAGTATTCAACATTCAGAACTTCTAAAGTTCCTCTTTATTAATGTCCTATTGTAATGCTTCAGATCAGTCTAGCAGAAAATTCCATGACACAGTTGAAACAATAGAAGATTGTATGTTAATATGAATTAAAGTGGTACCACTGGAAGTTTATAAAAATATAGTTGTCAAGGATTGGAGTTGTAGCATGACTTGAAACCAGTCAATGGACAGAGGGAAACCAGTTCAGAATTCTTCCCTCAACTCCTTTTCTAGCCACTGTCTTTCCAGGTTCTGCACAGCCATTCAGGTTGAACAACCAGGGACCCCTTTTGCTCTAGGAATGCAGACTTAACCTTGTCGCATTAAAAATGGGAGTAATTTGGCAGTAACAATAGTTTGAACCAATTATGCTTCAGTGCCATTGTTGGAATGTCTTAGACCAGGGATGTCCAACTCCCAATAGACTGTGATCTACTCACGGTGTAAAAAAACTGGCAGTGATCTACCCATTGTTGTTGGATGAGCTTTTTTGGGGGAGACAAGGTGGTTGAGCTTTTTTTTAGGGAGCAAATGAATGAATGGAACTGATCAGCTTTTCTCAACCTGTGGGTCCCCAGATGTTGTTGAACTACAACTTCCATCAGCCCTAGCCAGCAAGGCCAGAGCTCAGGGGTGATGGGAGTTGTAGTCCAACAACATCTGGGGGCCCACAGGTTGAGAACCGCTGAATGGAACTGAATGAGCATTGCAATATACACAGAACACAATTAAAAGTTGATTATATAAAACACAATTGAGGATCCTGAATCCCCAGTCCAATAGTGGAACTTAATCTGATGGCCCACTTTTTTTGCTAGGAAGCAAAAGTTGCTGAGCTTTTTTTGGGCGGGGGGAGTAGATCACTGAGGGGCCAGAGATCTACCAGGAACACCCCACGATCTACCAGTAGATCACGATCTACCTGTTGGATGTGCCTGCCTTAGACTTAGGAAGTGGGAAGAAACTACTTCCCACCCCCTTTCTTAGACCTTCTAACAATGGTGCTGCGCTAGGAGGAAAAGTGACCCTTTCCCAAAAAGAGGCTTTGTTTCTCCTTTCCTGGAACTGGAGGAGACCCTCCTACACTCTTGCAACGGTAGACAGCAACACAGTTGTCTTTCCCTGCCCCCCCCCCCCATGCTGGGGTAGAGGGAGATACTTCTACTGCACCGCTGCCCTACAAGAGTAAAAATCCTACTGACTGAGCGTGTCTGCCTGCTCCTGAGCCTGCCCCTCTACTGTGTGCGCATGTGTATTTGTATGCATATACACATAAGTGCAGGTTCCTGTGTGCCCCCCCCCCGCTGTGCTGTGTGTATGTGCATGTGAATTGCACTCTGGTTAGCATGTGACCCCTGGAAGGCTTGTCAAATCCTAAATGCGGCCTTCAAGCCCCAAAGGATTACACACACACCCTTTCAGCCTACTGTGTTGAGTTATAGTATTGTTGTGATTCTCAAAAAGTGGGTTAAACTCACAGTAGGTTTCTGGTTTGCAGTGGGAGTTAGGCATAGTCTTATCCAAGTCTCAAGGGCATGGAGTTTAATGTCACAGGTGTTGCTATTCCTTCAGAGTTTAATGCCTATTGCTATTCGTTGCAAATGAGGTGTTAACTGCTAATCTGCTGTTGAGAAGACTTATTTGTCATTGTTGAAATGAAGAGAAGTGACGGAATCTTAAATGATTTTGACTTTTTTCGCACTTAAAATAACTAGTAATATAATGTTAATATGTCAAGAGTGATATTTTCATTTTCACAGCACATGTTTTGTGACCTTTTCAATAGGATTGAGTAGTTCTAAAGCTTGTGGGATAAGCAGGAAGCAGAGATCCATCATGCCAAGCTTCTGATGAGTTTTAAATCCTTTTTAAATCAGGTTTATCAGGGGACTCTTGGGCTGCAATCCTAAATATGGTTACTTAGCAGTAAGTCCCATTGAACATAGTGGGGCTTACTTCTGAGTAGACATGCATAGAATTGTGCAGTTCTCTGAAATGCCTGTGCCAGTTTCTGATCACAGATGTGGGTCTTCCTTATCTTTTTGATTGCTGTTGCATTACCCTATTTGTGCCAAAACTTGTTGTGTAATTACTTCCTGCAGTAATAAGGTGAAAACTGTAAATTGCTGGTGATATTTGTTCATTATTGCTGCAGCTTTCTAAATTAGATGCACATGGATTTCCTTCTTTGAATGTAGAGTTGAGGGCATGAAGTGCATTTGCATCCAGATGCAGATATGCCTACTCACATTGTGTTTCTGTCAATGGTAGGCATATATATCTGGCCAAGTCTTAATTGGGGCCCGAGAGTTTTGCTGCAGAATCCTTTCAACAAGGTTGGAAACCTCTTTTCAAAAACCATACCTTTAATAATTTGGTTTGCAACAAAAGTAAATCGAAGGACTTCATACGCAGCGTCCTTGGGATAATGTCGATTGCTGCGCTAGTTGCCTTGCCATTTAGGGCCTCCTCATTTGCTCTATTCAAATTAGGGGTTGGCTGGGAGCACATTTGCAAACCAGAGAAACAGTTGTGGGCACAGCACACTCAAGCACACAACGCCACCTATTTTGTTGACAAAAACAGTATGCTTAACTTCAGTGAGGGAGAGGTCCCTGTAGACTGCAAGCATGTGTGTGCGTACGGGAACCATGTTAGCGACCCATGTTCTAAACCTTATCAGAGCTTCAGTTTTCTTTGGGGCTGGTTGATACATGCATGGTGTGTGAATGCACTTTAACAGATAAAGTGCTATCATGTAGCGCTTTCATGTAACAGATCATGTAAAGTGCTATCATGTAACAGATAGCGCTTTCATGTAGCCTCACATCAGTAACAGTGTTTTTCAATAAAATCTGTTCATCTGGCTGCAAGTGATGGCAAATGAAATGTAATTCTTGCATATGTGAAAAGTCCCATTTAATCATTAGAATTTCTGAAATGCTCTAATGTCAACCATTTCTTACAACATATAGTGGTCTTCTAATACTAATAGATGTATCATTTGTATATATTTGGCAGAACGTCTTCGGTTACAGTTGAAATAAGAAATAGATGATGGTTATATAACAGATTGGCTCTAACGGTTGGCCCTAAGCTCTAAAAACAGAGCTTAATGACTATTATTTGCTTATTTAGAGAAGAAGAGGAACGCTTGAGAAATAAAATTCGTGCAGATCATGAAAAAGCTTTGGAGGAAGCAAAAGAGAAACTGCAGAAGTCACGGGATGAGATCCAGGCTGAAATTCAAACTGAGAAGAACAAAATAGTAAAGGGTTTGAAGAACAAAAGCAGCAAGCCCTTGCCGCCGGTCCCGGTACCAAATCTTGTAGGGATAAACAGTGGAGATCCAGTGGATCCAGACATCCGAGAAAAAAGGGACAAAATTAAAGAGGTAATGGCTTGCATCATCTTATCATTACCTAGCTGTAGTTCGTGATGCTAGTATTATTTCTGTGAATAGAAACCATACTGTTTGTGATAGTCATAGAAGTTAATTTCATGTGGGAATTGGCTTAATATATTCTGCTTCATAATCTGGGCTTATTTTCTGGGCTGCTTTGGGAGGAAGTTCATCACTCTGACCCCTATAGAACATTTTCTGCCTCTGGAGGAGGCTAATAAGAAACTCATGAGATAGAATCTGGAACAGGACCTCATGAGGAAATCTTAAGTGCCATGATGATGTGGCGGTTGCTTTTTGGAGGCATAATAAGCACGTAAGGCAATTATTATACGCAGATCTTTTGTGTCTTTTTCTTTTATTGTAACCTGACATTTTTCTCTAATCTCTTGCCCTGGAGCTCCCTTTCTGGGGTAGAGTGAATATTACTGACAGTATTTTTTAAATGTTGCATTAAAATGTGTTAAGCTATGCTAATGAAATTTCTACCTTAAATTTCCTCTTTGACAGAGGAAACATGCATTAATGCCCACAGTTCTTTCAACAGCTTGCTGTTTTTCCCCAGTCATACTTTTTCTTCTGTGCATTTGCTCCTATACCACCATAGTCATGAAATTCAACAGAGGTCTCTAGGCTTTCTGGGTCTGTGAACCAATTTGGATGTTTTTAAAGTGTCGTGTACATGACCATAAAATGGCTGTAGTGGGTAGGGGTGTGTGGGTAGGGGATTGCTGCTGTGGGGGTATGGCTAATCACAAAACATTGGGAGTGTCCCATGTGTGTCTGCCTATGTGAAAACACAGACTCAAGACACATTCACACCACTCAACTGTTTCTCCCCATTTGAGTCAATGGAGCAGTTCCTCCATTGGCTTGCGAAAATGGCAGAGAGGGGAAGCCTTCAGGAATACAGTGTTCTGCCTTATGCAAATCAATGGAGACACTGCTGCTTTGACTCACAGAGGCAGCAGGAAGCATTGAGAGGCAGGTGGCTGGCTGGCTGGTGATTAGGGATACCAGGCATACAATTTCATTTTGTGAATATGTTGCTTTGTTCAAATTTGAGTCAGAGTCAGAGAGAAAATGCTATGCTACTTTGAGAAATAATGAGAGGCAAATTAGGAATATGTGTTTTGAAAAAAGGTAATAAAAGAAAGAAATTGGAACCATATTTAGAAATGCATTTCAGCAGTGATTCTCATGAATGTGTTGGCCTTTGCAAGTTGATTAGCTTCTTCTACTTAACCTGTTTGATTTATTGGCAGGGGATGCAGGGTTGCAATAGATTGGCAGTTCAAATCTGCATGATGGGGTGAGCTCCCATTGCTTTGTCTCATCTCCTGCCAACCTAGCAGTTTGAAAGCATACCAGCACAAGTAGGTAAATAGGTTCCGCTGCAGCGGGAAGGTAAATGGCATTTCTGTGCACTCTGGCTTCTGTCAGTGTTCCATTGCGCCAAAAGCAGTTTAGTCATGTTGGTCACATGACCCGGAAAAGCTGCCTGCGGACAAACGCTGGCTCCCTCAGCCTGAAAGCGGAGATAAGCGCTACACCCCATAGTCAAATTCGTCTGGACTTAATCGTCCAGGGGTCCTTTACTTTTTTAAACCTTTACCTTTTGATTTATTGGATTAGCTTCCTCTTACATTAATCACTGCTAGTCTTCCATCCCTTTACAGAAGCAGTTGCTTACTTTGACAGCACAGAATATTTTGCAAGACTTGAATCTGAAACATTTTCAGATATATTTCAGTTGAAATTACAGTTGTACTCTGTTGCTTACCTTTGTTTATATAGAGAGAGAATCTGTGTCTGAAACAAATATTTTAGTTGAATGGTTAATTTGTGTAAATTTTTATTTGTTTTCCATTCCTTAGATGATGAAACATGCCTGGGATAATTACCGGCAATATGGATGGGGACATAATGAACTGAAACCCATTGCTAGGAAAGGACATTCCACCAACATATTTGGTAAGTTGTCGTTCTAAAAAACTCATTTTGAAAATTCCACATAACATACCTTGCTTATCCTGTTGTGTCATTGGAATTTGAAAAAGTTAGCGAAAGAGAACTGTTAACCCACTTAAGAGATTGCATGTGTAATCCTGTAGATAACCACTCAAGAATAGCAATTACAATTAAATGCAATCCTGCTTTATTATTGAATTTTGTTGTGCAAATGCATGTCTGACTACTTATGATAATGAATGTTCTGAATTTTCTGCTAGTCATTGCAAACACAAAATTTGTACAACAGGTTTTTTTTGTATAACACAGACTTTTGTAGTTCTGATAGTTGGCTCTTTGAATTAACATTCTGCAAACAAATCTGTTTCATGGTTACATTTGATGAAATGCACTCAGATTTTTGTGTGGCAAGCTGCTGTGTGTGCATGTGCTATGCCACTATACATATTTATGTATGAAGTCCTGCTGGGGCATTCGTGTGTATGAGAGGGAGGGAAGAGCTGGCATGATGTCTTCCCTTGATCTTCAGTCTTTGCCCTTGCTTACTTCATCTAGAGACCTGTTCTGCACAACTTTTGAGATCTCTTCCATGTTGCCTGGATTTGCAGCTTGATAGCAATGGTAGACTACATAGGCTTCTTAAACTATTGGACAAACTCTGAAGATAATAAAAACAGGGATACTCTGGGCATGATAATAAAAAGCCTATTGTGCAGGGTTGACATGTAGAATATATATATAAAGTTCTTTGAATGCCTTAAATGCATATGCTAAGATTTCTGCAGTCGCAATGCAGTTAAAAATTCTACCTCTCTGTTCCCACTATGCCCGCAAGAGGAGAGGACTTAAGTCACTCAGTGAGGTTCTTTTTCAAAAACAGGGACATACTAGGACCAAAAATCCTTCAGTTTAAGAGAAAAGTTAAGATGTTTACTTACCTTATTCATCAAAAAACCAGAAATAATAAAGGGTCCTACCTCAAGCTCTGTGCCATATAAGCAACAAGTTCAGCCTACAGTTTGGCATATTCTACAGTGGTACCTCGGGTTAAGAACTTAATTTGTACTGGAGGTCCGTTCTTAACCTGAAACTGTTCTTAACCTGAAGCACCACTTTAGCTAATGGGGCCTCCCGCTGCCACTGCACTGCCACCGCACGATTTCTGCTCCCATCCTGAAGCAAAGTTCTTAACCCGGGGTACTATTTCTGGGTTAGCGGAGTCTGTAACCTGAAGCGTCTGTAACCTGAAGCGTCTGTAACCTGAAGCGTCTGTAACCCGAGGTACCACTGTACTCACTTACAAAAGTCTCCATATACCTGTGTTTTTCCTTGGGCTTTCACCCTCCATCCTCTTCCTCTGTAAGTTGGGAGAATGCTATGGGGGCAATGACTAGATAGTTGCACATCTTGGGTTCTGTTTCTTGGTCACGTTAGGGCATGACAGGGTTAAGATGGATAGATGAGAACAGTGCATTTTAATTTATTGAATTTCACAGCAAGAGTGACAGAGTAGCTTTATTTCCAAATGTGGTTTAATGGACCTGTATATCTTCAACCTGAAGTGCCCTGTTTGTTTCAGAAAATGTTCCAGTGGCATATATATGTGGGGTGTTTTCCTCTCCCCTTTCCTCACAGAATGTGGTCTCTGTGCTTCTCAAGCCTCTTTGTTTTCGTGGCCCTCATGTGGAGCATCTTCTTCTCTCTGACTTAGAATGCAGTTAGTCATCTCATCTCTCAGTGTGTCCAGGTCAGCTAACTCTTCTGTGGATATGCTGGAACTAGTCATATCTTCCTTGAGGAATGTGATGTTGGAGATTTGTTTTCCTTCTTGTTGACAGAGTTTTCCCTCTGAATGTTGTAATGTATCTGGGTGCTTGATGTCTTTTTGTGAAGAAGGTTGAGACAGGTCTTCTGCAGAGACAACACCTGTCCAAAAAAGGATGAACTCTTTGCGAGAAGCAGCAACAGCCATAGTAGTAGTGAGTATACAGGGCACCAGGTATACGGAGAGTTGACTGACTTGTCTGTAAGAATGTTGCTACAACAAAGGTCACCATAAGACCATAGCTATAAGCTAGAGTAGAAGCTAGAAAATAGACCCCTGAGGAGTTAACCTGAGCATCAAATCTGTGGCAGTAGGCTACCAGGAAACCAGGAAGTATAATATCTCCAAGGCCTATAGCAGTAAAAGAACTGTCATCAAAAATGGATGTTGAGGGTAATATTGGTACTTTCAACAGAAATGGGATCTCTTCAGAGTCTGGTGTCCCATAAGCTGTCACATCCGTGATGCTTTTTCCAGCTTTGGTTAGGAAAGGAGTGACGAACAGACAGAGTACATCATAAAACAAATGAGCGAACAGAAACAAGCTACAGTTCTTTAAGGTGGGCATGTGAACTGTTCTCAGAATGTAAATGCCAATAGAGATTCCTAGAACATCTTGCAAAACCCAGCCCCACTCATTCTCATTTCTGAAGATGACCCAAAGTGCACTGATGGCTATGCACAGGACAGTTAGAAGCAATGTTCTGATCTCTAGACCTTTGTGAAAAAATGGGAGATGGATTACACGTTTTCCAAATGGAAGCTTGCTTACAAATGGAGCTAAGCAACCATGCAGACTGAAAGATGCGTATAGACAGAAAATGCCAATCATTGCATGTACCAGGTAATCATAGAAATAGTAAAGAGCAAGTAGCATGAAGGTGGCCATTACTGTACAAGTACATATGAAGTAGGCATTGGTGTCAATTGTTATCTCACCAAAATCATCGTCTTCTGTTTTGAATCGGCTTTCAATAAATTGTTGCTTTCTTCTCTCTGTTCTGCCTGCCCAGTAGCTTCCTATGGTGACTATGAACATTGACATCAGATAAATGACCCCAGTTTTGCGTAACAAGTCCCTGATCAAGTTCTTAAACAATAAATAGAGAATGTCCACATCTTGGAGAAGAATTCCTGAGATTGTGACCTCCTCACAGTGACCCCAGCTATATCTGGATCTCCGGTTTTTCACGAGATAGGGAGCATCTCCACCAAGAGTCAACAGTCCCTGGGTTTGGTTAATTTGACGGAGTCGGGCACTCTCAAAGAGATTGCAGTTGCCCTCCCTTACAGATGCAATTCTTGTGCTGAATCCACCACCATCATTGTCTTCCTCCCCAAAGAATGAAGGTGGGCAACACATGGATGAGTAACTGATGTTCTGAGTTCCGAGCGCAGGGTGAAGCCAGCGATTTTTGTTACCCTCTTGATGTGATTTCATCCACTGTGAAGGGAAGAGGAAGCAGTAATCTCCTCCTTTATCTGGGCTGATACGGATGACCCCAGGGTTCTGAGCAAGCACAGGTGGAATAAGGAGCAGGAACAAGCTGGCTAGAAACAGAAACATCCTTCTTGGCAGTTTCCCTTAATCTTTACTAGGAACTGTAACCACACGCTGCTTCTTTCTCTTCTTGTAAAAGAGATTTTGTCCCTTTCCCCCCTTTAATTCAAAGTTTAGGCCCCTGGGACCCAAGCTCTGCTTGCTACATGGTAAGCTCTTCCTGACAGCCTTACCCCCACATCATGGATATAACCCCAACCTTGTTTGTTACATAATAAGCCCAGCTTCCTATCCATGGAGACAAACCCCACCCCTGTCTGCTGCATTGCATCTTCTCTAATAAGTTTTTGTTTCTTGCTTTTGCACAACAAGTTTATCAGGAAGGCTGTTTGTCACAAATTGAGCCTAATTTTCTCTTCAACCATAGATACGGATCCAGAATTACAAACTGGAAATCAAATTTTATTACTGCTTTTATGATTTAATAGCTTAATCTGGTGACTGTCAGAAGAAGGTGTGATGTGAACATTTTAGTTCATAAAGATGACTGTCCTCTAAAAATTTGAAGTATAGGAGATAGCCAATACAGGCTGCATAGCTACACAATAGGAATCAAGAGAAACTAGGGACTCTTTATGTTGGCAAAGGTGAACATTAATTTTAGGTTGTGTGCTAGGTAAAAACTCAATACTGTAGAAGCCCAATAGGGTAGAATCATAGAATTGTAGAGTTGGAAGGGATCCCAAGGGTCATCTAGTCCAACTCCCTGCAATGTGCCCAAGGTGAGGCTCAAACTCACAAACATGAGATTAAGAGTCCCATGCTCCACTGGTGGAAAGAATCTTCCCCACTTCAAGGATGTAAGATCCTCTAGCTCTAATTTACACAGCTGAATGGCTATATTTTCTAATTCAGACAAAAAGTAGAGGTAGCCATGTTGGCCCATAATAAAAAATTCCTAAATCTGTACTAGGGCAGTAGTTTTATTAGGCTAAATAGAATAACATAAAATAGTGTGCAAGCTTTTGGGTTCACCAGAACTCTTCATCAGACTAGATGGTAAACAGAACATCTGGTCACAATCTTCTACATAGTACACAATCTAAAATTAAATTTAGTCTCTGCTAATATAAATACTGCCTAGCTTTACTGTTTTCTGCCTACCAAGGTGCCTGTATATTTCACTTAAGGAACAGACCTGGTTAACGAGCATCTTTTGAGGTTCTGGAGATGGGGGTCAGCCATTGTTGTTCTTCTTGTTAACAGTATGCCTTGGTGCTACCTGCATAGCACCTAAAGAGCCTCCTTTGATTGTATACTGCCTCCCTAGCATTAACCCCCCCCCCCACTGCCAACAATTCACTACTCAGTTGCCTGTGGCGATTAAGAATTGTCCCCTGGCAACCACTCAAGACTCCATTCTCCTATGAAGCCTTCCCCTCTAAGATTAGATTGGAAATAGGCAGTCCCACATGCCATGTAGTCTCCAGAATTTTAACTCAAGAGTCTCTCACTTCTGAAATGGGAAAAGGAATGGACCAGAATACTGCCCGTGAAATAATACATAGCCTAAGGAGGGCTGCAATTCTGTAATCTGTACATTAGCCTTTCATTGACTGCCTTCGTATTTTGTTAAATATTTTTTCCTCTTTGTCCTATTTCTACTTCCATGGTTTTTGTCAGTCAGTTTTTTCTACCTGGAATGGCCCCACCACACCCCAGTAACCCAAGGGGGGCGGGCTGTTAAATTACATTTGTATCCGTGTTGTAATGACAAAGTTAAATCACCAAGCTGTAATCACTACATCAGCAGGGTCTACACATTATGGCTGGGGAAGGCAGCTAAGCATTAATTTCGACTACACAGCTGTGTAGTCCTACCATGCTATTGAAACAGTATTATATGCATTGAAACAGTATTATATGCATTTGTCAACACAATTACTGTTAAGTTACTGTTAAGTTCACTTAGCTCAGTGGTGCTTACTTCTGAATAGAGATGTGCAGCACTGCACTTTCACTCTATATGCAGGTTGATGAAAACCTGGAAGCTATTGTTTACTTTTAACTTGTGATTCCCACCCCCAGCTTTTTACATTTCCCCCCCTTTTCCAGTTTTTTTGGACACCTACCACCCTTATGTACATGGTAAATAAGCTCAAACAACATTTATGTTGCTTTTTTTTTTACTACAAACATTTAAATGAAAGAAAATATGGGTTTGTCCAATAATATGCCCATTTTAATTTTCTGCCTTAAGAAATTTTACTAACAGTTGAAGGAAGAATGACCAGTTTTTGTTTGTTCGTTCTTTGCCTGTGGCACCTTGAAAGCTAAACCTTTTGGTAGCGTGATCACAACTTATTTGACTTGGAGCAGTAGGCATGGAGTGCAAAGGGAAGGGCTGAATTTTGGCGCTGAATTTATGGAGGCTGCTGCTGCTAAGGCAAGGTTATGAGTGAACTTTAGCACTGAAACTTTTTAGTGCTGGCTGGCTGAGTGATAAGACTGGATATTATATACTGCTAGGGTTACCGTGAAGTTTTGGCTTGGGGTTGTAGAAGGGATTGTCACTTTCTACTCATCTGCCACTTGCTGAATTTCCCCTTGCAGATTTGCTTAGTATCAGGTGGCACTTCAGTCAGTCAGAAAAATAGAACCAGCTCTGCTTGACCAATCAGAAAAAGCTAAATATTCCTACCGGCTTCAAGAGAAACAGATGCATCCATGAAGAAGACTTGCTATGCAATGATGGGTGCCAGAAAGAGCAGAAAGTGGGGATAGAGAGGTTTCTGGGAGGTGGGGCACGGGAATGAGAGAGAAAGTGTGGGTGCCTTGGTTCTGTGAGCTTGTAGTTACCCATGAATAGCTGCCTGTCCTTACAGGCAGGCGAACTTTCCCAGGGAATTTCCCCTTCTACCTGCCAAGTGATTCTTCTGGTATCAGCCTGAGCACAGGAATTTCTTTGGTGACTCAAAGGAACAGAGATTCATATTATTTCATTAAAAAATATCAAAGTGGTTTACAACAAAAAATACATAAAAAAACAGTTTGGAAATGAAACAAAGCCACCTAAAAATAATGTAGCGGTTTCAACATGTATACTGCGCAGAAGTATATCTGTTTGCAAGTTGAAAAGCCAAAAGTATTGCAACAAGGATCTGTGAGTTTTCAGAGGAAATCTGTCAGTGAAGTCTATGGTTGAGAACAGTTGTTACATGGAATGTTTGGGTGTCATTTTTTTTTAAGGAAAAAAAAAAGGAAAGTGGGTGGATGGATGGAGAGGGAGTTGACCTTCTCAGGCCCCTAACAGCAGCTCATAGTGCCTTCAGCACTGTTCTCCAACCCAGTGTCCTCCAAATGTTAAGCAGTACAACTCCCATAATCTCTGACCATTGTCCATACCAATTGGGACTGACGTGAGTGGTAGTCCAAAAAAATCTGGAGTGCACCAGGTTGGGGAAGGCTGACCTGGAGGTAGGATTAGACTGGGGTAACATATTTGTTCAAGGATGTTTCAAGAAAATGGAAATTGAAAGAGGTACTCTTCCATTCTTCAACCTGCTCCTTGACACATTTCCCACCTTTTAGCAAAGGAGAGGCAGATGCAAATGTGATACAGAAATAACATTGAAGGAGTAATGTTCTTAAAGGCGTGACAATTCACTCTTCTTCTTTTTGTTGAAGTTGTTGTTTTTCCCACTTGTCCCACATGTTTTTTTAAATCTTTATTCATGCATTCAACAAATATTTATATACTGCTTGATTGTAACTAGAACCCCTAACAATTTGTTTGATTCATACTTGGAGAAATTGATTTATTTATAAAGGATAGTTCCAGCTTACAAATAAATAATGGCTACACTGAAGGGGAAGATCATAAGTAAAACATTTAGTTATAATGGGAATTCTGGGTTTTCTGTAGGAAATTCACAGCTGGGTGCCACTATAGTAGATGCATTGGATACCCTCTACATTATGGGCCTTCACGATGAATTCAAAGAAGGGCAGGAGTGGATTGACAATCACCTTGATTTCAGTGTGGTAAGTGGAACTTATGTTGTCCGATTTCTTCCTATCTTGAGAAACATAGAATCATATAATTGTAGAGTTGGAAGGGCAAGAAACTTATTAGCTTGATCAAACTTCAAATACTATTCTTCTTTCTAAAATGAAGCCTGAAAAAGAGCTGATTAGTGTCTTTTGATGACTCACAAACACTGTGTGTAAATTTTAAAACAAAATGGAAGGACCTTTCAACCTTTCCTCACAGGACTTGGTCTCCAGGCTTATCTAAGACATGTTGCTTTAATTAGCTGTCCTCCTTCCCTCAAGGGGGAAAAGGAAATTCTGGATGTAATGGTGGATTTCTGTTCTTCACATGGTAGAAGCCCACCTCCTGCTTTTCTTGTCTTTCTACATCCTTGGTGCCATACTTTCTTCACTGAAGCCTGCGGGAGACAGAAGTTTTTCTTCTTCCAAGTTAGGTTTCTTGGTCCCAAGCTTTTCCTAACAAAACAAAACTGAATTCTCTTGCTTTGATGCTTCTAGTTCTTTTGACTAATAGCAGAATAGCTTTTTCAGTTCCACACAGTGTCAGGAGCATGAGGGGAAAGGCCATTCTTCCTCTCTTTTAATAACAGAGAATGTGTTTTCCTGGTCCCCGAGGAGGGGCTTTCCCCCAGCCTAGCTGCCCTCCTTTCTTTTAGGAAGAGAAATTCAGTGTCTTCAAAGGAAATTTGGGACCTACAACACTGGCAATCACATTTCTATGAAAGAGAGAACACAGCAGGATGCTGGTTTGATGTTCAGCCCCCAAAAGAGACATGAGTAGCTTTTGTGGATGTAACCTCAGAGCCTTTCAAAAATTATAGAGAATTATTGGAGAACAGATGAGGTGCCTGTGGACTGGAGGTGGGCAAATTTTGTCCCTATCTTCTAAAAGGGGGAAAAGAGAAGACCTGGGTAACTACTGATGAGCTTGACATCAATACCAGTAAAGGTCCTGGAACAGATAATTAAACAGTCGTTTTGTGAGCACCTAGAAAAGGATGCTGTGATGACTAAGATGCAGCATGGGTTTCTCAGAAACAAGTCATACCAGATGAATCACCTTTTGTTTTTTGATACAGGTACAAGATTGGTAGATCAGGGGAATTATGGAAAGGTAGTGTATCTTGATTTCAGTAAGACTTTTGACAAAGTCCCCCATAACATTCTGGTAAACTGTGGACTGGACAAGGTGACTGTTAGGTGAATTTGTAGCTGGTTGACTGACCAAACCCATAGAGTGCTCACTAACAATTCCTCACTATCATAGAAAAAAGTGACAAGTGAGGTGGCACAGAGGTCTGTCCTGCGTCCAATGTTGTTCAACACCTTTATGGATCAAGGGAATTTTCATCATATTTGCAGATGACACCAAAATGAGAGGGAATAGTCAATGCTGGTCAAGACTGAGTTGGGATTCAAGATGACCTTAACAGATTGGGAAACATTGCCCACACTAACAAAACGAATTTCAGCAGGACAAAGGTGTAGCTGTAGACTTAGGCAGGAAGAACCAGCTGCACAGATATAAGGCTGGAGTACAGTGTCCAGTTCTGGGCACCACAATTTAAGGAGGATATTGCAAGCTGGAATGTGTGCAGAGGGAGGGTGACCAATGTGATGAAAAGACTGAAAACCAAGCCTTATAAGGAACAGTTGAGGAATTTGGGTATGTTTGGCCTGGTAAAGAGTGTTGTCAACATGGAAGATGGAGCAAGCTTGTTTTCTCATGCACCAGAGACTAGAGCCTGAACCAATGGATTCAAGTTACAAGAAAGGAGATTCTGACTAAAGATCAGAAATAACTTTCTGACAATAAAAGCTGTTCAATAGTGCAACAGATTCCCACAAGAGGTGGTGGACTCTCTTTACTTGGAGGTCTTTAAGCAAATGTTGGGTGGCCATCTGTCATGTATAGTTTCCTGCATGGCAACGGGTTGGACTAGAATGATGACCCTCAGGGTCCTTTCCAACTCTGGGGTTCTGTGTTTCTATGAAAGCTCATCAATCAGAAAGTGAATGACCAACTAGTTAGTTCCTTTATTTTTTGGATCTCTTGATTAAGAGACTGTGATTTTGAATACTTGGGGCATGGAAAACAAAGTAAGAAAGGATTTTGCTCACATCAGCTCTCTTGCATCTTGGCGGTTAAACTTTCCACAGAAAGTCAGATTTTATATCTTATGAAGAAGATTATATCCCTTGTATGCTAATGGAGAAGGGACGCGGGTGGCGCTGTGGGTAAAAGCCTCAACGCCTAGGGCTTGCCGATCGAAAGGTCGGCGGTTCGAATCCCCGCGGCGGGGTGCGCTCCCGCTGCTCGGTCCCAGCGCCTGCCAACCTAGCAGTTCGAAAGCACCCTCGGGTGCAAGTAGATAAATAGGGACCGCTTTCTAGCGGGAAGGTAAACGGTGTTTCCGTGTGCGGCTCTGGCTCGCCAGAGCAGCGATGTCACGCTGGCCACGTGACCCGGAAGTGTCTGCGGACAGCGCTGGCCCCCGGCCTCTTAAGTGAGATGGGCGCACAACCCTAGAGTCTGTCAAGACTGGCCCGTACGGGCAGGGGTACCTTTACCTTTACCTTTATGCTAATGGAAGATTTCAGTTAGCCATTGCTTTCAGGTTGTGAAATATTTCTAAAATGCAATTTGTTGTCTCTCCCTATAATAGATAGTTGGAGCTCTTGAAAGTTTTCCTGAATGGAGCTTTATGTTATGAATCCAACAAATTGTACAGATATGACTATAAGAGTTTTATCTCTTATGTGAGAAGGTCATTTTTCACCAAAATAAAAAAACACAATGGCACAGTTCATGACTCCTGTTCGCGTCCTCTTAACAATACCCCACTGTTCCTGCAACTTGCACACATCTCTTTTGCCACCTTGCTATTCTTACAAGAGGGTGTTGGAGCCGATTTGTACAGAAAGTTAAAATCAATTCATAATAAAGTATGGACGTTTAATGTACAGTGGTGCCTCGCAAGACAAAATTAATTTGTTCCGCAAGTTTTGTCGTCTTGCGATTTTTTCGTCTTGCGAAGCACGGTTTTCCATAGGAATGCATTGAAAATCAATCAATGCGTTCCTATGGAAACCGCCTTCAGACCAGGTCCGGGGACAGTCTGTCCCCCGACCTCTTCTGAAGGCTGGGGGGGCTTTTCTTCCCACCCCCAGCATTTTAAAAAACCCCGGGACAGCGGGGGACTTCTCCGCTGTCCGGGGCGATTTTAAAATGCTGGTGGGCGGCAGTGCGGCCGCCCGCCAGCATTTTAAAAAAACCCCGGGATAGCGGGGGACTTCTCCGCTGTCCGGGGCGATCTTAAAATGCTGGCGGGCGGCAGCGAAGCCTCCGCTGCTGCCCGCCAGCATTTTAAAAAAACCCTGGGACAGCGGAGGCTTCGCTGCTGCCTGCCAGCATTTTAAGATCGCCCCGGACAGCGGAGAAGTCCCCCGCTATCCCGGGGTTTTTTAAAATGCTGGCGGGGGGCCGCGCTGCCGCCCGCCAGCATTTTAAGATCGCCCCGGACAGCGGAGAAGTCCCCCGCTGTCCCGGGGTTTTTAAAAATGCTGGCGGGCGGCAGCGAAGGCTTCGCTCCCGCCCGCCAGCATTTTAAAATCGCCCCGGACAGCGGAGAAGTCCTCCGCTGTCCCGGGGTTTTTAAAAAACCTCTCCGCCCCCCCGCCAGGCTTTGGAAGGCTGCTCCGAAGCCTGGCGGCGGGAGGAGGTCTCTCCGCCCCCCCGCCAGGCTTCGGAGCATCCTTCCGAAGCCTGGCGGGGGGGCGGAGAGACCTCCTCCCGCCGCCTGGCTTCGGAGCATCCTTCTGAAGCCTGGCGAGGGGGCGGAGAGACCTCCTCCCCCCGCCAGGCTTCGGAGCAGCCTTCCGAAGCCTGGCGGAGGGGCGGAGAGACCTCCTCCCGCCGCCAGGCTTCGGAGCATCCTTCCAGGCTACGGAGGAGGTCCGAGGACAGTGGGGAAGACGCGCTGCGCTTCCCCGCTGTCCCGGAGATTTCCCTATGGGCTTTCGTCTTGCGAAGGAAGCCCATAGGGAAATTCGTTTTGCGAAGCGCCTCCAAAACGGAAAACCCTTTCGTCTAGCGGGTTTTCCGTCTTGCGAAGCGTTCGTCTTGCGGGGCACCACTGTATATGTGAAACAACACATTTGCACACATTCTTGATGTGAAAGGGCTCTTTAGCCAGAAAAGTATACTGTTAATTTGCATAGGAGGTAACACTAACTCCAAAACCTGTTCTGTTAAATGGGTTTATATCTCCAAAGAAACATTTACAGGAATTCATTCTTTATTTATTTATTTATTTGTTTGTTTATTTATTTATTTATTTAAAAATTATTGATTTTCCAAATTTATAACAAACGTAACAAACAAGAAAAACATTACAATATAGAGAAAACAGACAAACAAACAAATATCTTAACTGTTATAATCCCACTTTTGTTACCATTGTTGGGTGACTGCCTCAAATCCCCCTTGCTGAGTTTCCATGTAACTCATTGTAGCAGTTTTCAAATACTATTTTCATATAAAATTTACTTGTTCAATTAACATCTTTCTTTCTTTTCATATTGAAAAGAAATGTTATACAACTTCACATATTTAAATCCTAGGCCAATCTGTTACTCACAAGTAGTTCTATTTAAGTTATCTTAACATATTTAACTAATTCTTAAATTTCTTCCATTCCTCTTGGTACTCCTCCTCCTTCTGGTCGCGGACTCTTTTGGTGCATCAACTAACAAAAATTTTACTCTATCTTCAGGACTAGTTATAGAGTTGGGTATAATTTGCAGCAATGCGTCTCTAAAGCCCGAGTAGATGGGGCAATGGAGGAGGTAATGTGTAAGATCCTCTTTAATTTTCATAAGGCAAGGACATAAACGATGTTCTACTGGGGTTTTTGTGTATCTACCGGTCAGATAAGCAGTTGGCAATGTTTGAAACTGTGCCATAGTGAAAGCTCTCCGAAGGGTGGGATCAGTGATCTCCACCAAGTAGTTGGCACAGATTTTGACTGCTTTTACTCGGGGGAACCAGTAGGAAAACCCAGAATTTTTTATCTTAGTGGAGTCCAAAAAAGCGTCTTTTTCAAAGATCCATTCCCGAACTTTATCAGGGCTCCACAATTTGAGAGTATTAAACTCAGGTAGGTTGTATCTGGATAGAATGTCTAGTAGGTTTTTATGCCAAATGGTATTATTTTGTAATGATACATACAAAACAAAAACATTCTGACATCTTTCTTGGGCAGTTCCAAACCTATTATTCCAAGTAGAAAGGCTTCTGGTTTCTTAATAAATGTATATTTCAACATTTTTTTTTCAATTCACTATAAATCTTTTCCCAGAAGTCTTTCACCTTGAGACACATCCACCACATATGGTAAAAGGTACCACCGGTACCTTATTTTTCTTTACATTTCCAACATAAATTGTCACTCTTTGCTAGTTTTACAGGGGTTAAGTACCATCTATACATCCTTTTCATAACGTTTTCCTTTAACAGGAATTCATTATTTAAAGCAAGAGGTGCTTTAAATAACCCTAGGAACCTTCAGAAAGAAGAATGGGATACATATTTAATTAAAAAATAAATTCACTGTAATAATTTGTGATAAATCTACATACTTTATACTAATATCTAGCTTATATCCCTTTTTCTGTCTCAAGAATTCAGAGGTATCTGTCTTTGAAGTCAACATCCGCTTCATTGGTGGCTTGCTTGCGGCCTATTACCTTTCAGGTCAGGAGGTAAGTGAATTATAATATAATCGTGGAAATATGTGCAACTTTTACTTAGTTTTCTTAAAAGGGAACAAAGGCTTGTTTTCTTGCTGCTTCAGAGGCCTCACTAATAGGTAAGTAACCACAAACTCATAGCTGTAATCAGGAGTGATAGGAATTTCAAAATTCAGTACAAATGCAGAAAATTCAAAATGCTGGGCATTGGCCACAGAATCTGTTTTCATTTTATTAAAAAGAGGCATTAAAATGAAATACCTGGAGCCAAAAGAGATTGGGGGGTGGGGTGCTTTAGTACTGTGGAAACTCATTTCTCCCCAGCAAACTAATAAAATATGTGTGAGGTAGTTTAAGTTGTATATTCAGGTTGCATAATTTGGCACAAAATTTGCCAATAATTATACAGTAATGAGCACTTGTCACCCTGTCCGAAATCAATTGTCAAAATTTGAGGTCTTAGTTTATGGTTTGCAGCAAGGTTTTAACTGCAGCCTGTGAAACAGATCATGAAAGATCTGTATTGGGTACCATTCTGTATCTGGAGGATCACTTGCTCCCATATGAACTTGCCCATATCTCATTAAGATCTTATCTTGAGAGGTGCTCTGGATGCTCCCAACCTCAGAGATCCCAGATGCGTTACATGGAGCAGGGCCTTTTGTGTGGTGGCACCCAGATTATGGAGAACTTGTTAGAGAACCTGCACTGCTTTCTTTTAAGTGCCAGCTAAAACGTTTTTTTAAAAACTGCCCTAGCCTTTCCCAATATTTAATTTTTGTATATAATTTGTGATCATTTGTATTCATGTTTTTATTAACTATTGAATATGTTTTGTTGTGGTGGTTTAAATTTATTGTATGAGCCATTTGGAGCCAATATCAGAATTAGAATGGGATAGAAAAGAGTTAATATAACCCAACCTGCACTTTTCTATGCTTTCATAAGGACTTACTTCTAAGAAGATATGTATAAGATTGCACAGAAAAAAATGGACAAGTGCTCAACTTTCTTTCTTGTGTTACAGGTTTTTAAGTTAAAAGCGGTCCAACTTGCAGGAAAACTTATTCCGGCCTTCAATACACCCACAGGGATTCCTTGGGCAATGGTGAATTTGAAAAGGTACGAGATTTGAGGCAAGAGGAAGACTGGCAATCAGGAATAGCAAAAACCTATGTTTGGCCACTGATAGTAGGATGTCTCAATGCCTGCTAAGGGATTTTTCTGCACAATTAAATACCTGTATGTGGTGTCTTTGGAGTCTGATGTTAGCTGTGGTATCGTGTTGAGTAGTAGTCAAGTTTGGGGGTGATCCTTTCACTGTTGGTTCTTGAATTATTTCAAGGACACTTTTTTCCTTTGGCTTGTGCTTATCTTCCCCAGTACAGTGGTGCCCCGCAAGACGAATGCCTTGCAAGACGGAAAACCCGCTAGATGAAAGGGTTTTCCGTTTTTTGAGTTGCTTCGCAAGACGAATTTCCCTATGGGCTTGCTTCGCAAGACGAAACGTCTTGCTAGTCTTGCGATTTCCCCCCCGCTTCCCCCCCCCTTTTTCTAAGCCGCTAAGCCGCTAATAGCCTTTTAGCAGTTAGGCCGCTAAGCCGCTAAACCGCTAATAGCACTAATCCGCTAAGCCGCTAATAGGGTTGCTTCGCAAGACGAAAAAACCGCTAGACGAAGAGAATCGCGGGACGGATTCTTTTCGTCTTGCGAGGCACCACTGTAATCTGTTGCTGATTGGTCTTTGCCTTTAACAGAAATAGATAAATTGCTAAACCTCTTCCTATATAGAACAATACCAGTACCAAATATTTGTATACATTTACCCTTTAATCTTTCTCTTGCCAGTGGTGTAGGTCGCAACTGGGGCTGGGCGTCTGCTGGCAGCAGTATCCTATCTGAGTTTGGCACCCTTCACATGGAATTTGTACACCTGAGCTACTTGACTGGCAACCCTGTCTACTATGATAAGGTTAGTTTTGTGCTCTTTCTGGTGGAATAAGAAGTTTGTCGATATTTATTGACAGTGACTATAAATAATGTCCTTGTTTTTATTATGTATTCTGTGTTTTTATATTGTGAGACCTGCAGATTTTAATAATAATAATAATAATAATAATAATAATAATAATAATGGAAATAATGCATATATTAAAATGCATAAACCACCAAGGACCATTAATTGATTGACAATTTATAATGAAATGGTATTTAAAAGTCTGCCTAGTTCTTCAAAATTTGTTAGGGCACCAATTTAAACTTATTTAATTGGTGGAAGAGGATTTGATTTACATTCTGTATTGAGACTAAGCTGTGATTATGATTATTTTTTCTCATTTAGGTCATGCATATTCGTAAGCTACTTCAAAAAATGGACCGCCCAAATGGGCTTTATCCAAACTACTTGAATCCAAGGACTGGGCGCTGGGGGCAGCGTGAGTACTTCCTCCACATTTATGTCAAATTCGATTATATCTATCCATGCACACATATAAGCGCACATTCACACATAGGCACATTCTGAGACCCATTTCAGACATCGCAGCCCAGACCATGGTTTAGCCTTTGGGAACAAGCTTCATACTCGCATGCTCCATCCTCCTCTTTCATGTTCTGGTTTCTTGTATCATGTCCTGGCTAATAGTAATAATAGTTCTGCCTCCTTCATTGCACAATTGCATCAAGCTTTGATTTGGGGAGCTTGACTTCAGTAACTTCCAGGATTATTTATCTATGCTGCACAATGCAAGCTTCATTTATTAGTTTATGTAGATAGTTTCACAATCAGAATCAGCTGCTTCACAGTATCGGTTCCCAGCAGTAAGTTGGTGCGCACCGACCCCTCTCGCTCTCCAGGCTTCAGGGATAGCCGCTCTCCAGGCTTCAGGGAGCCCCCGCTGCGCTCCGGAGGCTTCGGGTTCCCTTTGCTGAAGCCGGGAGAGCAAGACTCTCCTGGCTTCAGCAGAGAGGGAGAGCTGCGCAGCGCCCCTTCAGCCAAGCGGGAGGAGAAATGGAAGGGGCTCCGTTTCTCCTGCCACTTTGCTGAAGGGGTGCTGAGCAGAGAGGGGGATATTTTTTTTTTTCTTGTTCTCCCCCTCTAAAACAAGGTGTGTCCTATGGTCGGGTGCGTCCTATACAGCAAAAAATACGGTAATTAACTAACTTTGTGGTGAGTTCTCTCACTGTTTTTTCCAGGAAAAAAAGCACTGGGTACATGTTCTGCATGTGGGGGTAGTTACCTTCTTCAAATCTGTCAGTCTGATGGCTTAGTTCACTTTAAAAAGTCTTAAGGTTTTAAAAGATTTCCTTGATGGCAAAAGTTGGCTTGAAAAGAGACGAGCTTTATTCTGCTTCCCCAGCACACAAACCTCTGAAGAGATCAGAAAAGATTAGTTATCTTAACTTACTCAAGAGAGAACATTGAGCAGTAACATGATCACAGTCCTGCAGAGCTTTCAGTGCAGATATTGTGGCCAAGTAGATAAGCTAAGAGCCAGTTTGCATATACACTGAGTCAGATTATTGATCCACTTGTCCAATACTGTGTTTTCTGATAGGAATCCAAGCTCTAAGGCAGCTTCACTGCCTGCCCCACTCAACCTTACTGTGTCAATTGAATGGGAACAGTCAACTAATATAATTTTAATATGGAATGAAATGAAAAGCCCACTTTGCTGTTCCGTGATCGGCACGTTATGTGAAATTCTTCTCAGGTTTCCCAGTATGTAATTGTGTGTTCGATCATGGGTCTGGGATTAGGCATTTAAGTTCTTGTGTCAAAAATTCAAAACGTTGCAAAGCTAATCAGTGATGGGAAAAGGAATTCATTTTCCATGTCAGTGGTGTAAGATGAATTGTGATGCAAAATAAGTTATTTTTAGTATACCAAATTCTTAAACCACAGATTGATGGAGACGATCTTTAAAACAGTTTGTTTTCCAGACTTAAGGGTTATTTCCAGCTAGGTTTTACAAAATCAGTCATGTTCATTCATTTCACTGAATCTACTTTGAGTATGAGTAATATTGGATATAACTCTATGGAGTTTGCCCTGGCAAATCTAGGTAGTATTGCGCACACCAAATTTTACCCTCTTTCTCCTTCTTTGTTGCAGATCACACTTCCATGGGTGGATTGGGAGACAGTTTCTACGAGTACTTGCTGAAAGCATGGTTGATGTCAGATAAGATGGACATGGAGGCAAGGAAAATGTATGATGATGCTATTGAGGTGATTATAGTGCATTGATTTCCCCCACTTCCCCACATACACAATGAGAATGTCAATTTTAAAAATGTTTCTCTCCTTAAAATGCAAATGATTATTTTGTTTCTAACTCTTTTTAGGGCAGCAAGATATACAATATGTAAAGATATACCATCTTGATTCAGTTCTGAAGCTGGAGTTATAAAACTGGGCGCTCCCCATTTTGACAGTTTGCTAGCTGCATATTGTGGACTAACAGGCTTTTGATAACCCTACCCACCGCACCACTCAAACCTGTTTTTGCAGACTCAGGCAGGCAACAAAAGCAGGTTTATTAAGCACTTGGCTGTAGCCAGAATTCTGCATTTGGTAGACCAGAAGTTGTGCAGACCTGCAGTAAGCACCATATTTACACAACTGTGTAAATGCTGTGAAAACTTAAGAACTGGATTGTGATTCCTCACCCTGAATTGTTTCAGCGGTATTGTAACTGAACAAATACTGGTTGACATTCTGGATCAGACTTCCCGGACTTGTCCTCCACATGTTGCATGTGAGCAAAATATTGCAGTTCTTTAGATTCCTACCATCACTGCAGTGTCAGAGTAGCTGTTGAACTGGAAACCTCTGAAAAGTGTCATTTGCCAATATTAGCATTAAAAGTTGACAGAAGGAAACACCAGCCTTTACTGAGCACTGCTTCCTTCTACTATGACTAATTAAAAACAACAACCCCACTACTGGCAGAATCTGCCCCCACCTTTACATTGTAAGTAAAACACAGACCTGCTTCCAGAACTTCAACATCCACATGGAAATGCCCTCCCAGCTTAGAGTTTTATAAATTTTGTGAGCAGAGAACTGTTCTTGAGCCAAGATTTTCAACCAACCCCTTGCTCAAATAGGTTACCTTTTCCTAGTGAAGTTCCTGATTCTGGTACCCTACCTTTAATTTTAAGTAGGTTTCATGAATACGCTTGCTTTTAAAAGAGAGAATACGACTCACTGGTCTATGTTTCTTTTTGTGTATGTAAAAATCAGTGGTCTTGTAAATAGCAATGGAAAGTTCTCTCTCTCTCTCTCTCTCTCTCTCTCTCTCTCTCTCGGCGTATGGATTTGCACTCTTCCTAGTAAATATCCAATAATCCTGATTTGTTGAATTTCCCTTGAAGTAAGAAGCCAGGAAAGTTTTTAAGGAGAGGTCGAACCATCATCTGTCATGTATGATCTAGTTGAGATTCCCCTCTAACTACAGTTCTGTGATTCTATTATTCTAAGCTGGAGTTTGTCTTAAAGCAGCTTGTATGCTACTCCAAATCCCATGTGATGTGCAAAGGGCTCATGACAGTATTTGTGATGGTGTTTCCGTGTGCTGCTCTGGTTTCGCCAGAAGTGGCTTAGTCATGCTGGCCACATGAGCCAGAAAAACTGTCTGCGAACAAATGTCAGCTCCCTCGGCCAGTAAAGCGAGATGAGCGCTGCAACCCCAGAGTCGTTCGCAACTGGACTTGACTGTCAGGGGTCCTTTACCTTTTATTTACACCCCCCCCCTCTGAAAAACAAACCCACACCCCCAGTGTAATAGCGCTGTCTCTGGAGAAGAGGGGGGGGGGAGAATGAAAGTGTGACTCGCTAAGCTATGCCTCTGCTCTTCTCCTCACCCCCACCTCTAGTTCTGTGGGAAATATGATGCAGGATAAATGCTTAACTCCCATCATGCATGACAGAGCAGGAACTAGGTAACTTCTTTCTACTCTCTCTCCCTCCCTGAACAAAGAGGTAAGTAGCTACTTAACTCCTGTCCTGTCGAGGATTCCCATCCTATAAGTTTATCATTGCTATTCATTGGTACCCAACTATGTGGTTCTTTGGGTGTTTTGCAGGAGAGAAAAGACTTGCTTGGACACACACACACACACACACACACACACACACGTATTAATGCAAAGCATAAAGGATGCACTTGTGACAGTGAATATTTTGAATATTTGAAGTAACTTTTCTGTTTCTTCTTATAGGCCATAGAGAAGCATCTTATCAGAAAGTCCAATGGAGGCCTAACTTTTATTGGAGAGTGGAAAAATGGGCACCTTGAGAGAAAAATGGGCCACCTCACATGTTTTGCTGGAGGATTGTTTGCTCTTGGAGCAGATGGTTCCCGAGATGATAAGGCTGGACACTACCTGCAGCTTGGAGCAGAAATTGCACATACGTGTCATGAATCTTATGACAGGACAAGTAGGTATCCTTTCCTGTCTTAAGTTCTGGGTGGCTTTTTTCCTTAATACTTACTAATGGTAATGTGGCTGAATTCGGAGCAATTTTGAAAGTACATGAAAATGGAGAGAAAATATACTGTGTAATTAATTTTTTTAGCTCATGCCCTTTGAGTTTGAATGGTGAATGTGCATTTAATGATTTGTTCATTTAAACTTTGTTTTGCCAAGAGAGAAAGCTGCATAAAAGCACCATCAGTTCTTAGTAGTCATGAATTGTGTGAAAGCTAGAAAAGGAGGTTATTAAATTACACAATAAAATCCCGTAACAGTGCAAACCAGTAGGAGTATTCTTACTGTTAGCTTCAAACAATTTAACTGGATGAGGAACATAAAACTATATGCTACGCATCTTTGTAAGTTGAGAAATTATCTATATTTGAGTTCATTTTAACTGTATTTTTATTGAAGCTAGTAGCAAAATCTAGATTATCCAAAACTGTGTTTTGCATTTACCATGCCTAGGAAAAAATAAAGCCTGCATCTCCTGGAATCCAACACTTGTTATGACTTGCTCATAATTACAGTACATAACACTCTGCCATTTATCCTTAAAAATAAAATATGTTTTTGCCATAGTTATCTCTATGAGAAGCAGCCTTTAATAACTTGATCTGCTTAGTAGATTTCATGATTCAGTTTAAGAGCTATAGATGTCAGTTTCATAATTTTGCAGTAACCTCAAATTTCCTTTTTACACCAGGTTTAAAACAAGCTTCTTGAGTAGTGAATTCTGTATTAGTAAAGGAATCATATAGTTGTTCAATGTATTCAGTATTAATTCTACAACTGTGTGCACATTCATTATTCTTTCAGTGGGTTTTAGGGTGTTCTCACGCTACAAAAGGCCTGGACAAATTTCTAAGAACTGTTCCAAGTGCTAGTAAGCACAAAGTACCTGTGAGCGTTAAAAACAAACATAGAGTAATGTATGTTATTAGCATATTTGATATAGAATTTCCATTAAAAGTTATTATTTTTCATGCTTTTTATTAGTTTTCTTACTTGCTAAACATACAATAAAGTAATCAAAATAATAAAATGACAACAACAACAAACACCAAACCCCCCCAGGAAACATACATACAACCATAAATCCATAAGTTCTTACACATGGACTTATGTCACCATATTCTTTATTCCCAATTCCTTTTCTTCTCTGACAGATTTCCATCTTCCTCAAAGCGGGTCTGTTTTATCTATTTGTTAAACTGCTTCTTTTATCAATTCATCATTTCTGCTGTTTTCCACATACTATAATTATAATCCATATTATGGTTGGTGAAAATTAATCAAAGCAAATCCAGGTTTTGACTTGGGGGCACTTTTTTAAAAAAGTAATCTCTATAAATTTGCCATTCCTTTTGGAACTTTTGGTTGGGCTGTCTCCTAATTTTCTCTGTCATTTCCACAAATAATTAAACCATTAAATGTTTCTCCCCCTCTGCCTCCTTCCTCTGCAGCATTAAAACTGGGCCCTGAAGCTTTCAAATTTGATGGTGGTGTGGAGGCAGTAGCAGTACGGCAAAATGAAAAATACTACATTTTACGACCAGAGGTGATAGAGACGTATTGGTATATGTGGCGATTCACACATGATCCGAAATACAGGCAGTGGGGCTGGGAGGCAGCACAGGTAACAACAGAAAGCTTTTCTGTGTGGAAGTCAAAATGTTTACTGCTGGCAGCCTCTCACTGATGAAGCGTGATGAATATTGTGTTGCTGCATAGCTGTCTGTTTCACAAGCGGAGACATAAATGCACATACAGTGGTGCCTCGCAAGACGAAATTAATTCGTTCCGCGAGTTTTGTCGCCTTGCGATTTTTTTTCGTCTTGCGAAGCACGGTGTCAGGAAAGTTTTGGAAAAGCTTCCAAAATCACCAAAGTCTTTAAAAACCTCAAAAAAGGCTACCACACCGCATTCTATGTGTTGCTCCTCCAAGTCAAGTCGCAACTGTATTAACGGTGTTAAGAAAAAGGAAACAAACTTGCAAGACGTTTCCGTCTTGCGAAGCAAGCCCATAGGGAAAATCGTCTTGCGAAGCAGCTCAAAAAACAAAAAACCCTTTCGTCTAGCGAGTTTTTTGTCTTGCGAGGCATTTGTCTTGCGAGGTACCACTGTATAGGAGAAATGACAAATAGCAGTATAGAGAAACATATATCCAAGCATATAGAAGAACAACCTTTGTTGAAGCAGAACCAGCGTGGCTTCTGTAAGGGCAAGTCCTGTCTCATGAACTCATTAGAGTTCTTTGAGAGTGTCAGCAACCACATGGCTGTTTTATTGGCTGGGTTTTTTTGTAAATGCTAAACAATGAAGACAGAAGGCAGCACATGAGACCAGTATTTGTTTCTCTTTTGTCTCCCTCTGTAGCACCCCCCACCACAGCCCCTAGAAAATTGGGGTGGGCTCTCCTGAACAGTGTGGGTTGCAGTGGGAAGAGATAATCATATGAAATCGAACAGAAGCACCTTGTATGAACCATCTTCACGTTGCATGCTTTATGCAACAAAGCTTTGAGTAGCATTCTGGGGCAATCAAATGTAGTGGCATAAATGAAGTACTAGTGAAATAATTAAGAGGAGCAAGAGTCATCTCATAACTTGCAGTGAACATATCTGCTTACCTTATTATGTTGTTGCTGATTTTAAAAACAGTCCTCTACAAAAAAAAATTAACAGGAGTTTGGGAATTCCATATTTTTAATGTCCTGCAAGAACAGATTAAATGCAAGAACAGATTAATGGACATTTTGACTATAATATTTCACATATTGTTTTCTCGCATACAACTCCCTCAGCTACCAAATTGTTATCTTTTTTGTCTTAACTGTGAATACCCAGCGTTAGGTCTTGTTTGTCCCTTGCCGTCTTCATCACTATATGGTTAGGTAGGATTCCACTGTTTCGCAGCGGAATGTGTTAACTAGATGCAGCAATGAAAAAGTGTCTAGTAGAACATTCATTCTGTTTCCCCCACGCCCCACATAGGCCATTGACAAGTACTGCCGAGTGAGTGGTGGATTTTCTGGGGTCAAGGATGTCTACTCTTCAGCTCCTACATATGATGATGTGCAGCAAAGCTTCTTCCTTGCTGAAACACTAAAGTAAGCAGATTTTCCTTCTTGATAATTTTCTTGGAATTGTGGTGGTCCTAAGAGGCTATTCAGTGCTTATAGAATTGTTGCCTGTTTCATTATTGTTTTCTTAGGTAAATTGCATTTTTTTGTAAACCACGCTGGAATCTATTTTGATGAATGGTAATACAGTGGTACCTCAGGTTAAGTACTTATTCGTTCCGGAGGTCCGTTCTTAACCTGAAACTGTTCTTAACCTGAAGCACCGCTTTAGCTAATGGGACTTCCTGATGCCGCCGCGCCGCCGGAGCACAATTTCTGTTCTCATCCTGAAGCAAAGTTCTTAAACTGAAGCACTATTTCTGGGTTAGCGGAGTCTGTAACCTGAAGCGTATGTAACCTGAGGTACTACTGTATAAATGTTTTAAATCAATGTAACAAATTGGAGTCAACAAATGAGCTGTTGATGGGATGAATGGCAGAGGTACACCCACCAGAACGTAAGATGTAAGCCCAAAGACCACCACAGTGTACCTAACATGTAACATAGAAAGGGTATCAAAATATGTAATAAGTATTAGTGACAAGACAAATGTGCTGTTTCTGTGATTCCTGGATCACCAGGAGTTTGTTTTTGTTTTCTACTGACTGGATTTCAACATCACACTAAAGGTTGGCTTGGCTCAGACAAACCATAATTAACGTTAACCACAGCTGATTAATGCTTGGTTGGGTCAGAATAACAAACCATGGTTAATCAAGCACTGAAGTAAAAGCTTCCAAACTTTGTATTCACATCATGTTGCTACATCATGATTTAGCATGGCATTGGTTTTCTTTTTTACTGCAATGCAAAAATAAATTACAAATGCTATTTACCCTACCAATGGTTACCCAAGGGGAAATGGTGTTTAGTCAAGGCAGTATTGTTGTGTATTTTACATAAATAAGTGTCAAGGCCTTCTGGATTTTTTCCCATATGCAGAGGGGGAGTAGTTATGAATATAGTGGTAGAATTTTCTTTTTTTAAAAAAGGTTGTGGGGACGATTCCCATTGGCAATAAATGAGGTTCTTGTGTATTGTACTGCAGTTAATCACTTACCAAGACACCTTACGTTTTTCCATATCCTGGAAGGTTGAATGAAAGCCAGATACACACAGTGTCAATTTTACTATTTGGAGAGACTATCTCTCCTCCAGCCTGTTTCAAACTACAGTGGTACTTCGGGTTACATATGCTTCAGGTTACATTCGCTTTAGGTTACAGACTCCACTAACCCAGAAATAGTACCTCGGGTTAAGAAATTGTGCAGCGGTGGCACAGCAGCAGCAGCAGGAGGCCCCATTAGCTAAAGTGGTGCTTCAGGTTAAGAACAGTTTCAGGTTAAGAACGGACCTCCGGAACGAATTAAGTACGTAACCAGAGGTACCACTGTACTTTTTCTGCCTTTTATGAACAAATGTGTTGAGGGGTGTGTGTGTGACAAAATGGGTCTTTGTCCGCCTAGTTTCGGTCCTGCCTAGCCCACTTACCCTGGAGAAAGCCCCATTGATTTCACAGCAACGTACTTCTGAGTAGACATGGCTAGGATTGCACTGTAAATTTAAAGACTATAGAGTTCCTTGGCACATTAATTGGATTAAAACAAACAAACCCGCAGAACTGCATTATTGAATAATGTGTTTACCCCAGTGTTGTTAACTTTAGAGATTAGGACATACTCATGACTTGAAAGCCATTATTCTGAGTGAAGAGTTCTGAGTAAAATTTTAGTAAAGGTACCCCTGCCCGTACGGGCCAGTCTTGACAGAGTCTAGGGTTGTGCACCCATCTCACTCTATAGGCCGGGGGCCAGCGCTGTCCGAAGACACTTCCGGGTCACGTGGCCAGCGTGACATCGCTGCTCTGGCAAGCCAGAGCCGCACACGGAACACCGTTTACCTTCCCGCCAGTAAGCGGTCCCTATTTATCTACTTGCACCCGGGAGTGCTTTTGAACTGCTAGGTTGGCAGGCGCTGGGACCAAACAACGGGAGCGCACCCCGCCACAGGGATTCGAACCGCCGACCTTAGGATCGGCAAGCCCTAGGCGCTGAGGCTTTTACCCACAGCGCCACCCGCATCCCAGAGTAATATTTTAGTCTAAAGCTAATGTGTCCCTTGCTTGAATACTCAGATCATTTTGGCTTTCAGCGATTTGTTCTTTGAGTCTTCTAAATAAATACTTTCTGGGTGGAAGCATATATATTATCAGATAATGTCTCTTAGAGGTCTGAAAATAAAAGGACTCAGTTTATGGGTGTGCATTGGAGACTTACAGGCCAACGTCACCCTTTTCACTAAGGCTAATGAGCACCAGGCTGGCATTTCACTACAGCCAAATGGAATTTGTTCATGTTAAGTTCATAACACTTCAGTCTTGAAAATGCAGTGAAAATCCAGTTATTTCAAAGAGAACACTTCTGGCAATCATGGCAGTGTTATTAATTTTGGTGGATAAAATCTAAATCATAAGGTTGAGATTATTATTTTTAAAAGTATTTGAACAAGAACTAGATAATGAATCCATTAAAAACATTTTGATCCATTATAAAATGCACAGTTAATTGAGCACAAGAGTTAAAATAACCATCATAATTTTTTTAAAGCAAGTATGTATTTAAAAAAAGGCAGATGGTGAGAATCATTCCGTCCTATATGAGATATGGGGGACTGTTTCTTTTATGATAGCACCTACTCTGATTACATTCCTGCTTCATTTAAAGCAATAATATTTTCTCTTTCAGAACAGTTGTTGCAGATTGTATGCAAATCATAGAATTTATAGAATTTCAGTTGATTAAGTGATCTGCTACAACTTCTTTAATGGGTGATACTTTAAACCGTAAGGTCCATAATTTTTTCTGAGGTTATCTAGGTTAGACCAGACATGGTGATAAACCTTCTGTTGCTCATTCCAACTTGTTTTCTCTCTTTACCTTGACAGGTATTTGTATCTGCTCTTCTCCAATGATGATCTCCTACCTTTGGATCACTGGGTTTTTAACACAGAAGCTCACCCCTTGCCTGTTTTACATCTAGCCAACACAACACTTTCAGGAAATCATGCATATCGATAGAAACTATTCCAGGACAAGGACAAAATACTTCGTTTTAGCTGTGTTTTGTTTACATGGACCACTTCAGACTTAAGGCTTGAGAGAAGACTGGCATTGTTTAATTAATGAATAACTTTGAATGAAGAGAGGATCAAAACTGCACTCTTAAGCATGTACATAAATTTAAAAATTCCATTTTATACATGACCAAAACTATCGAGTGCAGTGTGTGTCAGCGAAAAGACCTTGTATATTTGCAACTGAGAAGGTGGAGCATGGTGTTTTTAACAATTCAAAGCCTATCGGAACATGTTTCCTGCCCTGTGACAGGAGTGAAGTGGAATGGCTACTACTGACCTTCGTAGTGAGCGATCTCCTGCCCAGATGATGTGGATTCCTGATATTATGTCATTTGGTTTTTCTTTCGATGATGGCATGACTGAAACAATGACAGGCAACAAAAGTGCACTAATAGCACCTAGAGCTGAAATTCCTCTACTCCTGTTTAGAATTTTCTACTTTTCATCAGTCTGTCCAGACTGGCAGCCATTCCCAGTGCCTCTCAGACCCTTGCCTATTTTTATTATTGTTATTAATAATATTGATCAACCATTTGTTCTTGTAGTATTGTTCATCAGTAAATGAGATATGAAACGGATCAGCAACTTCTCTCGGCTTTCCTTTTAGGATTTGGAAAGCTCCATTCACTGCAGCGTCGCTTCTTACACTATGACAAAACCACCCAATGCATCTGCCACTTGGTCAAGATTCCCTTCACTTAAGTTGCAATAACTCAACATTTGTCTATGAAGCCAGGAGTTTCATTAAACTCACTTTTTTTATTTGTATATTATTCAGAAATGGAAGAACTGTTCTGTAAGAGATGTTTTACACGTCCTCTGAGTAAGACTTTTACCTGGGTATAATGGTGCTTGGTTTTTGGATCTTTTGGTACGGCGGGAGTGTGAGGATGAGTTTGTCAGCCTTCACTTACACAATAGAAATCCTACCACTTGATTTCTAAGTAACTGGAAACAAACACTTACTGGTGGGTACATGATAGTGGACAGCAGATCAACAGAAATGTTTGTGTGAGTTTTACTTTGCAATGCTTCCTTGTCATTACTAAATGCAATTGATAACAATTTGGGTTAGAAATGGCTCCTTTCCTGTCAGGTCCCCCACCCCAGTTCAGTTAAAAGAGAATCATTAAGTATTTGGGGGGGGGGACGGGGGTTAGTTGGATATTTAAATATTTTGTATGAATATTTTTCATGTACATTGGAATCTGATTTCCTGGTGAATGCAGATTACAAGCATTTATTTTTGTTGGTATGCATCCCTTTTAAAGAGTGCTGAATTCCAAAAACGTTGACCAAGTTATCCCATTGGGACCTTACTGTGCCTCAAGGACAGCCGATCTGTAACTCAGCACACCATTTTAACTAGGTAACTGGTAACAAACCTAAGATCCACTTGTGGTGGAAGATAAGTTAAATATTTAGCATATTGCGATCCCTAGGATGGAGATCCCTCTGCCCACTTTGCACAGGTACAGTTCAGCTGGGCCTCTGGTCAGGATCATGCCGCATTATAATGTGAAACCCAATATATGTGCTTGTCTCTAGCCCACATAATTGCAGAGATAAATCTAAAACTTCATGGTATATTTACAGTAGAGAAAGGTGGAATTCTAGACCTCGGGAGGTTGAGTTATTCCTTGCTTAGCACAACTACTGGACAGCCCCATGGTCTCCACTCCCATGTTGCCACCCCCACAAATCTGTTTTTTACATTTCTGCATCCTAATGTTTTCTTTATGCTCACTTTTTCTTTCCCAGGCCCCCAATAAACTCAAAATTCTAAATTCTGCATGAAAAAGACAACATATGCAAATCAAAATCATGTGCTGTTTTTGAACTGTAGCCTGGCAATAGAATTTGGAATATTTTGATGCAAAGCTCTGTAGAAGTTGTGTCTAGCATAACGTTGGAAATTGCTCTCCATATGCTGCTTATACTGTTTTTATTGAGCCTAAGTCTTGGAACATTGACAATGTTCTCATCGAAATCAGTGGCAAAACTCTGTATGATGCATGGATATCCAAAGTGATTGTTTTGTTGAAAAGTAAAAATTGAGGGGGCTAGAATGGTTTTCAGCCTAAGTAGAGTGGAATTGGGCTTTGTATTAGGCTGAATAGTTTTCAGCCACTTTCTGTACATGGAAACGGTGCATACTTGTGCTGGTACTACATTACTGCTACATTTGTCTTCCCTAAAACATTGATGTGCAGCAGATAGTAATCTTCATTTTAGAGCAGAACTGCACAAACAATACAGTGTCATTGTTGGGAAGACTTGGGTGGATAAGCTGGTTTTCTTTGTTGAATAGCACCAGTGTACTGGCAGTCGTATCATCCCTCCATGCTTATTTTAAAAGTTTTTCAGACCACTCTGCATGCAGTTTCTTCCAGTTTTGATTTTGCTTCTCTACCCCACCCCCTTACTGGTTTCCAGTGTGCATGAGTATATTGATTAAAATGGGCCTGAGCATCTGGATCTACTGGATAGATCTCTGAGATATTTGTAATAGATCTGCAACAGTTTCTGGCCTCCGTTTTTTTTAAAAAAACAAAAGCAGCAACAAGTAGATTTCTCATTTCACTTTTCTAAATTAGGCTGTTGAAGCTAGGAAAGCTTGGGGAAAATTAAGAGTAGATTTTTTAATGTGAAAGGCCTGTGGAATCTGTTCTGCTGCTGCAAACAAATTCCTGACCCATGCATGTACTCAGAGGCTTCCTGTTTTAAGTGTATATATCCCCCCCCCCAAACACACACACACATTTTGCATGGGACTTCAGAGAAGAAGACACAAACTGAACATTGTGACAAGTTAAACCAGCTGACGTGGAATATAGGGCAGAGCCAACCTGTTAAATAGTGGACATTAGCAACCCACAGAGCTCCTTAGATCTGCTGCCCCTGTCTGCTTGCTGTCTCCAAGCAAGTGAGCAGTGACAGGAAAAAGGAGCAGGCGAGCAGCCTCAACCTGCCTCTCCCTCTGGGCAAGTGCTGTAGGATGGGCCTAGAGCAGGCATCCCCAACCTGCGGTCCTCCAGATGTTTTGGCCTACAACTCCCATGATCCCTAGCTAGCAGGACCAGTGGTCAGGGGTGATGGGGATTGTAGTCCAAAACATCTGGAGGGCCGAAGGTTGGGGATGCCTGGCCTAGAGGGACAGGTCAAGCTAGTCACCAGTAGTGGTACGGAAGAGAGTAGGCTACTCGGAGTGGTGGGAGGACCTATTACAGGCCTCTTACCCAAACCCTGCCCCTAAGCATCAAGCTGTCTCCGCTGAGCCCTAATAATGTGGGTTATGTTCTAACTACATATTGGGGGGACAGGAAGAGGAAAAATGCTTGCCCTCTGAAAAAAATGGAATTCCCCCCCCTCCCAAGATAGAGGGTTGGGTCCGAGGATCACCCATGGAGAGCTCTTTTCATGACACAGGTTAATCCAATGCTACAATAAACGTAATCACCAAAAATAGAAATTGGAAGTTCAGCATAAATAAGTACTCCAATAATTCATAGTCACTCAAGTTAATTGTGACTTGTGCGGCTATTCGCTGAAAACCAAAAGCTGAATGAAATTACTATAATTGCTTCCCAAGCATCATTGAAACTAATTACCTAATTAGTCTTTAATGACTTAAGGCAAGTACTTCTGTTCCATTTTAAAAGAGCGGTTTAAAATTAGATTTTCCACTTGTTATAATCGCTAGTAATTTGAGCTTTACTTCTGCACACTGCTTTTGCATCAGGAGGACTGAAGGGGGGGGGAGCATTGTGTCTCTCTAAAAGTTCTTTTATATTCTTCAGAACATACAACACCCTACCCTAAAAATAAAATACTTCTCCCAATTCTAGAGGGAGAGGTCAGGGACAGAATTATATAGAGCCAGAAATAGAAAGTCTGAATTCATGCCTGCTTATTTGCTTTCCTTTCTATCACTGTGCCTTGAGTTGTAAAAGTGCTGCTTGCATTGTTGCTTTGGTAAGTCTGATACATGGGGTGAACTCGCTGCCATGAAATATGTCAAATTTCAAATCCTAAGCCACTTCAGAAAATTTCGCTAATCAGATGCAATGCCATTTTCCTCTTGTTTGGCCATGCAACAAATTGAATATATTTGCTTCATTATTGAGTTTATCACAGTATTTGGTTTTGGGAGTTCTAATGCCATCCCTGGTCTCCCTTCTCAAGCTTTATGCGGTACAGAGACAACAACTCTATTATAGTTTGTGTACTTTCTTGACAGCCATGAAATGTGGCTCTTCAAGTCTGGCTTCAGTGGACTCTAGATTTCCTTTTTCAGGAATTAAGATAATCCGAGGGTTGAATTCATACGCTGCTACATGTGAAGTGTCACTTGTTAATGTTAAAAATGTGAAAGACATCACAGATTGACAGGCCATAATGAAAGGCTCATAATCACAGCAATTGTTTAAACTACGTGTTGAACCCATTAAAATCTAGCTGCAACAATGGTACATGAATGCACTGAGTTCTTGTTTTAAAGAAGAAAAAGGATACAAGTAACAACTAAAAACAAATACATTAGAATTAGTAGGTTTTTAAAAACATTTTGTTGCTCCTGTTCTACTTTGCTTCAGACATGTTAGATTTAGTTATTTACAAGTCCTACATTCTAACAACACAAAATTCTGGTTTATCCAGTATTTTTGCAACATGCTCACTTCTCTCCTCCAAACAAAATTTTAATAATTGACAACACCCATTTTCTCTGTACTAGGTTATTTATGTACATGCCTGGCAACTGATGTGTGACCTCACTCCATAATTTTTATGTGGAATGCAAAAGCTCTCTGTGGTCACATGTGCAAGTCATCACTTGCTGTTGTAGACATAAAAATGCTGAACATGCAAATATTCGGTTCTATACATGTTTACTCATGAGTAAGTCTCACTCCGATTGCAGTGAGGACACTATTCCATTGAACTCAAAGGGGCTTCTGAGTAGACATGCCTATGATTCTGCCTGTGCCTATGAGTAGACATACCTATGTCTGCTGTATAGTATTTCCCCCCTGCTAGACCAAGAACATGTGTGATTTAGACTCAAATATTTTAAATTACGTATATTAACGTGGAGTACTAAAGCTCCATTTTCTGAATGAATAGGAACAGTACTCTCCATCAAGGAAAAATCCTCTAATTGACTTCAGCTGTTTTCCCCCTAAAATGAATAGTATATTCTCTTAAAGATCCTGGGTTCTTTTAAACAACAACAAAAATCTCTCTTTGATTGTCCACTCTAGATGTTTATACTTTTACATACAGTGGTGCCCCGCAAGACGAATGCCTCGCAAGACGAAAAACCCGCTAGACGAAGTCTTGCGAGTCTTGCGATTTTTTTTCGCTCCCCCCCTTTTTCTAAGCCGCTAAGCCGCTAATAGCCTCTAAGCCGCTAAACCGCTAATAGCGCTAATCCGCTAATAGGGTTGCTTCGCAAGACGAAAAAACCGCTAGACGAAGAGACTCGCGGAACGGATTAATTTTGTCTTGCGAGGCACCACTGTATATACTTCTTATATTTTTCTTCCTTGAAAATATTTGGCTGGTTGAAATAATTCATCCCCCTCACCTCCACAGGCAACTTTCCTATATGTTTAAAAGCCATAAATATCTAGGGCAGAATCTAAGAGAACCAGAGTCAATCAGCAGGGACTTTTTTTTTAAGTACTGCATTTGAGCTATTTATATAATCTATATGCATACACTTTTGGATTGCTTGTATAGTTCAGTTACTTTTTACACCGTTAAAAGGAGGAGATAACAAAGAACAATTTAGTTAGTGTAGGAATTGGAGAACCTGTGACCTGCCAGATGTTAAGACTGCAACATCCATCTTCCCTGGCCCTTAACTGCGCTGGCTCAGCGTGAGAGTTTAGTCAGACAACATCAGGAGAGCTACTAGTTCCTTATCCCTGGGCTTCATGTATCAGGTTGGTGACCATTTTTGGCTTTTGGGCTGCCATTAATACACACGAAGGGGGCTTGGCTCATTCATTATTGTGATGTCAATCTGTAGTGGTGCAATTGTTGATAACCACAGGCCTAGCGGCACCTCTGCTTAATTTAGTCCATCTACCATGAAACACTTATTCATAGTGGATGTTGGCTGTCATCCTGCCTCTTATTTCACTTTCCTAAAGTTTATATTTTTCTTCTGAATATATTAAAAAGGGCAAGAGTCAGCCTTGTGAACTGGGGAGCTTCTGGCTGTCTCTGAGCTGGCATCCTGCATATGTAATTTTTAAAAGTTTAAAAAGAATATTGTATATAAAAAATAAAGAATGTCTTTAAAAGAAAGGGTTTGCTGTGAGCGTATCTTTGTTTGCTTGGGAGTAAAAGAACTGTAGACAGCAGGTGGGACTGGCTTCATTCACCTAATGAAGTTACTGTTATTTTGCATTGTGTTATAAGCTTCTCAGGGACGCGGGTGGTGCTGTGGGTAAAACCTCAGTGCCTAGGACTTGCTGATCGTATGGTCGGCGGTTCGAATCCCCGCGGCGGGGTGAGCTCCCGTCTTTCGGTCCCAGCTCCTGCCCACCTGGCAGTTTGAAAGCACCCCTAAGTGCAAGTAGATAAATAGGTACCGCTTTATAGCGGGAAGGTAAACGGCGTTTCCGTGTGCGGCGCTGGTGCTGGCTCGCCACCTGCAGCTTTGTCACCTGGAAGTGTCCTCGGACAGCGCCGGCTCCCGGCCTCTTAAGCGAGATGAGCGCGCAACCCTAGAGTCGGACACGACTGGCCCGTACGGGCAGGGGTACCTTTAACTTTACCTTTATAAGCTTCTCAAGATGTGTGAAACTCATGTGGGTGTTATCTATAGGGTGCTTTCTTAGTAAAAAAAAGTTCCCTTGAATCAGTTGTATCCGCCTGGATTGCCTTTCATTGTTGCAGAGGAGGGAGAGCTGCATTGCACTAATGAGACTTGGCTCCAGCTAAGGAGGTAGTTGGACAGCAAGGGACTTAAAGATGTGCTAAAGGCGGAAGATGAGATTGCAAAGAAGCTGAATGAATTATTTGCATCTGTTTTCACTGTGAGGAAATGGGCAGATCCCTGTGCCTGAACTAACTTTCTCAGGAAGGGAGTCTGGAAACTAAAAATTAACAAATTAACCAGGTCCAAATGACACCCACTCAAGAATTTTTACCTCGAATGTGAAACTGCTGATCTTCTAACAAAGACATGTGAAATATATAAACTTATCGTGCTGCAGGACTGGAAACTGGCCAATGTAACACCATTTTTTTAAAGGGGTCCAGGGAGTATCAAGGAACTTACAGATCAGTTAGCCTAATGTCTGTTTCAGGAAAACTGGCGGAAAGGCATTATTAAGATAGAATTACCCTAGCTAGAATAACAATGCTTGCTGAAGCATAAGCAGCCTTTGGAGACAGATCGTGCCTTTTGGAAAGCATCCATTAAAAATAAGAATAACATGGATTTGTAAAATCCTTGATTTCCCCATCAGGTGACACTTTAGACACAGCCAGTTAATAGATTTTTAATCATCATCATGACACCTACATGGGTCACCCAGTAACACGGCTCACTAGTTGGCTCAGAAGCACAACATAGTAAAATACAGTATTAAAACTCCATAAACATGGCAAAACCTACGGACTTATAAAAATGCACTAACTCTTTATGGTTGGCACAAAAAAAGAGATGGTGGCGATGCCTCAAGCAGTGCTGAAGAAATTGTGTATGGAGGAAAAAAGGGAGTAATTTTTTTTTTTAAAAGGATACATTTCAAAGGAAGCTACAAACAAGCAGCAGCCCAAATTAGCCAGTTCAAGACAAGCTTTCATTACCACCAAGAGATTGCTTTGAGAGGGAAACTACTATGGTCGCACACAGTGCAGTTCCACTTCCCTCCTTTCAACAAGTTTTTAGTGTTTTGCCATCTTTTCTGGTCCCTGGACAGAAAATATGTGGAGATAAATACATATAGATTCTCCTGTCAAATAAACTGCATCTCACTCTGGGATGTAGGTTGCACTATAACCAGACTAGGAGCACTGGCACCACTACAGGTGCCATATAAATAACACCCATTCCACATTTGCAAGGACCTGATCATTTTAGCGTGGCAGCGCTTCCACTTTGCCTATTGAGATCAAGCAGGCGCCTTCGCCGTACTCTTTTTGGCACCTGCTAAAAGCTATCCCTGTGTTGGACAAGTCTACCCTGTATCTGAAGAAGTGTGCATGCACACGAAAGCTCATACCAAGAACTAACTTAGTTGGTCTTTAAGGTGCTACTGGAAGGAATTTTTTTTGTTTTGACCCTGAGTAGGGTTATTGTGGATTTTCCCTTGGTTTTACTGCTTTATCTTTTCATAAACCGCTTTTTATGTTTGCTTTTAAACTACCAAGCAGTGTATAAATTTCATACAACAATACAAATATTTTGTGTGCTGTTGCTGCAAAGAGCAACTTTCGCTGTACTCTTTTCAGTGCCTGATGAAAACCAACCCTGTTTTAGACAAGCCTACCCAGATGCTTAGAAAGTTGAAGCAATTCTATTCCACTTTAGTATTTTCAACTTTCATTATGCCTTAAAAGTTGGGTTGAGGATTTTCCCTCTGTTTTACTGCTTTTCCTTTTCGCAAGCTGCTTTGGATGTTGTTGTTGTTTTTAACTATCTTGCGATGAATAGAAAAGCAGAATAAACCAGGGCGTGGCAGGAGAGGATGCCAAACGTGGTGGGAAGAAGATTCAAGGACAATCCCAGAAACATTTGAAGGTGCAGAGCTGCAGTGCCAGTTCACTTGCAGAATATGCACAGATGTCTTTTCAAAAACAGCACCGAGTGATATTGAGGCCAATCCTAGTTAGCGATAAAAAAACATCCTGTGCGGCGCGGAGAAATCTGCATTCTGACATTGCGACAAAGAGTTTGGGGGGTCGGGAGTTTGAGAACCACTGAAATAAAGGAGATAAATTCCGTGGCGCGGCTTGCAAAGAGCATCTGCGAGCCACTTCTCCTCCTTCCAGGGCGCCGCCTTCGCGCCAAAATTAATAAAATACAGAAACGGAGGAGGAGAAAGGGCCGAGATGCCGCCGAGGGGAGTCTCCCCGGGTTGCCTCGGGCGGAGGCGGAGCGGGGGGCGACGAGGGAGCGGAGGAGGCGAGGAGGCCTTTGTCTGGCCTCGGGGCCTGCGGCGCCGGCGTCGGGGCGGAGCCCAGGAGGAGAGGTAGGGAGGCGCGGGCCGGGAGAAGGCGCTCTCCGCCGCGGCGGGGTCGGAGCTCGAGGAGTCCGGCCGAAGGGGACGGGCCGCCCGGGGTGGTGCCGACACAGAGAGGGCTATTTCTCCCTCGCCCGGAGGAGGCCCTTCCAGCCCCCCTAGCATTGCCAAGCAGGCAGCTCTTCCCGGGGGGGGGGGTTGGCAGACTTTCCCCCACCCCCGGGGGGGGGGTTCACTTGGAGGCCTCCCCCTTTTAGCCCCCTGGGGTGCCCAGGAGAGGGGAAGGGGGTGGCTGGGTGCTTCAGCTTCTGCTGCTCATTTTCTCCTCTGCACCCATTTTCCATCAAGCTCCACCCTGGTTCCCTGTTGCAGACCCTCCAGCATTTATCCAAGGAAAATAGGGATGCCCTATTCCATAATAATAAAGGGACGCGGGTGGCGCTGTGGGTTAAACCTAGGACTTGCTGATCAGAAGGTCGGCGGTTCGAATCCCTGCGATGGGGTGAGCTCCCGTTGCTCGGTCCCTGCTCCTGCCAACCTAGCAGTTCGAAAGCACGTCAAAGTGCAAGTAGATAAATAGGTACCACTCCGGCGGGAAGGTAAGCGGCGTTTCCATGGGCTCTGGTTTCCGTCACAGTGTTCCATTGCACAAGAAGTGCTTTAGTCATGACCCGGAAAGCTGTCTGTGGACAAACACCGGCTCCCTCGGCCTGAAAGCAAGATGAGTGCCACAACCCCAGAGTCGCCTTTGACAGGACTTAACCACCCGGGGATCCTTTACTGTTGTTGTTGTTGTTGTTGTTGTTGTAGTAGTTGTTTAGTTGTGTCTGCCTCTTTGTGACCCCATGGACCAGAGCACGCCAGGCACTCCTGTCTTCCACTGCCTCCCGCAGTTTGGTCAAACTCATGCTGGTAGCTTCGAGAACACTGTCCCACCATCTCGTCCTCTGTCGTCCCCTTCTCCTTGTGCCCTCCATCTTTCCCAACATCAGGGTCTTTTCCAGGGAGTCTTCTCTTCTCATGAGGTGGCCAAAGTCTTGGAGCCTCAGCTTCAGGATCTGTCCTTCCAGTGAGCACTCAGGGCTGATTTCCTTCAGAATGGATGCATTTGATCTTCTTGCAGTCCATGGGACTCTCAAGAGTCTCCTCCAGCACCAGAATTCAAAAGCATCCATTCTTCGGCGATCAGCCTTTTTGATGGTCCAGCTCTCCCTTCCATACGTCACTACTGGGAAAACCATAGCTTTAACTATACAGACCTTTGTTAGCAAGGTGATGTCTCTGCTTTTTAAGATGCTGTCCAATGAAAATAGGGACGTCCTATTCAGCAACAACAGGACGCGGGTTAAACCACAGAGCCTAGGACCTGCTGATCAGAAGGTCGGCGGTTCAAATCCCCGCAGTGGCGTGAGCTCCCGTTGCTCGGTCTCAGCTCCTGCCAACCTAGCAGTTCCAAAGCACATTAAGTGCAAGTACGATAAATAGGTACTGCTCCGGCGGGAAGGTAAACGCCGTTTCTGTGTGCTGCTCTGGTTCGTCAGAAGTGGCTTAGTCATGCTGGCCACATGACCCAGAAGCTGTATGCCAGCTCCCTCGGCCTATAGAGCGAGATGAGCGCCGCAACCCTAGAGTCGGGCACGACTGGACCTAATGGTCAGGGGTCCCTTTACCTTTACCTAAGGAAAAGCGTTACATTCCAGGATCAAATCAGACACTGGGACGGCGCTTGTAAATCAAGGACTGCCCCTGGAAAATAGGGACACTTGGATCGTCTGCTGTTCTCTCAGTCTGATCCAACAGGATAATGCACTACCACCAGCAGCAACCATTTCATAAGGTTTTAGGCTGCACTTCCTGTGTCTCAAGACCAGGTCATTCAAACTGTATTCATTTATTGCATTTATGTCCCCATTTTTCCTCCAAAGGAGCTCAAGGTGGCATAACAATCAGGAGGAGGCCGATTAGGGGCTGGTGGTTTCTCCTTCTTCAGCCATGGAGGGGAAAGAGGAGGGCAGTGGCAGTAGCAGGAGAGGAGCCACCAGCTTTGAAGCTGCGCTGCCACTGCCTTCAGCATCTGTCCCCTGGTTCCTCCTGACATCCCTGTATCACACATATGCCATGTGTGCATCATCATACACACACACCATCTTCTGCTCAAGTTGGCACCTCTGCGCTGAACTGCCTACAATTATTCAATATTTGTCCCACAAGTAACAGTATCTGGTCACTCCTGTTCTACACCACACTTGAGGCTATTGCGTTGTGGGCCCTTCCTCTACAGCAGAGCTTTTCCAAATTGTGTGTTGCAACACATTAGTGTGTCGGCTGCAGTGTGTAGGTGTGTTGCACGAATGCTCCCCACGCTTCTCCCAGGTGTGGAAAGGGGTTAGTTTAACCTCCACTTTCCTAGTGAAACTGAATTACTGCGTCGCAAAATGATGCATGTCTAAAAAGTGTGTCACCAACATGAAAAGTGTGGAGGTAAAACCAACCAACCAACCAACCAACCAACCGCAAGGTGGTTTCCAAAGAGATTTTAAAACCTTACTTTCCAACCACTGGAAATGACCACTGGGGGGAGCACAAAGAGAAGAAACGAGTGAGGCATATGCACCAGCGAAACCAGATACCTTCATCTGCCCCACCTGCAATAAAACATGTCTCTCCTGTATTGGTCTCTACAGCCACAGTAGGTGCTGTAACTCTCCAGCGGTTTGACTGAAACAGATTAAAATTACCTCAGTTTTCTAAGGATCTGGGTAGGCTTCTAAACAAGAACGTTTATCATGGACGAGTGTCCCTTTTAATCAGATATATGAAATGCTATCCTTACTTGGCAGACACAGAAGAAAAAATGTAAAAAGTGAGTTCTGAGGAAAAGGGAGGCGGGGACACCAGACTGTGACAATTACATTAAAACCTAAATGTATGTAAAATAAGTACAGCAACCATTCAAAAATGAAATATCCTGGAATTGGTAGATTGCAGTATAATCCATTCCTAGCCATGTCTGCTCAGAAATAAATTATTTTGAATTCAATGAGGCTTAGGCTGAAGTAAATGAGATTACAATTGCAGTCTTAATTAGCACCTGTAATGGGATAAAAACCTGTTATCGTGATTCAGGCTGCACACACACACACACACACACACACACAGTACCCATATCTGTTGTAACAAAGTGCATTGTGTTTTGCGGGGCAGAAGGAAGGTGTGTTGAAGGGACTGAAAATTTAATAATCAAATTTGCATCATTTCTACTAGCAGATTCAGTTAGCAAAATGTCCAGGCAATTGAGTGCAGTTCTTGATCTCTGTCCCTCTCTCACACTTTTAAAAGAAAGCAATTGTGATACTCCCTACCTACCTGGGAGTAAGTCCCATTGAATTCAGTGGAACTTACTTCTGAGTAGACATGAACAGGATCCTGCTGTGAAACAGGGATTTTTTTAAAAAAACGTGCTAGTATACCAGTGAATTCATTTATGATGAGAAATACACCAGATAATTATAAAGCTGCGTTGTGGCCAGAGGAATACAGCTTTGTATTTGACAGAATGAATAAAATATGGAATTAGTGAATTGATGTCCACAGTATTTAATACATAAGAAATCCACAGTTTTCTTCATATTTGGACAAATGCAAGTTTCCTCCAAAGAGCTCAAGGCAGCATACATTGTTCTTCATCCATTTTATCCTCACCAGAACCCTGTGAGTTAGTAGATCAGACTGGAGAAAGGAATAATAGGCCCATGGCAATTGCTATTGCATGGGGAAATGGTGATGTTAACCTAGGTCTTCCAGTTAAAGATTACTTTGTGTATGAACTTCAGCAGGTGGATCCATACAATCTTTTCTCACTGCAAAGTACTGTATTTTTCACCCCATAAGACGCACTTTTTTCCTCCTAAGAGGTAAGGGGAAATGTGAGTGCGTCTTATGGAGTGAATGGCGCTGCACAGAAGGGGAGAGCTGCGCAACACCCGTTCCTCCTCCCTTCTGTTCCTCCTCCCGCTTCGCTGAAGGGGCACTGCACAGTTCTCCCTCTCTGCGCAGCACCTTCCTCCGAAGGTAATGGAGAACGAAGGTAATGGAGCGAAAAATACGGTAATTTTTGCAGCCACCTTGTGGAGAATATCTGTATTAACATACCCTTTGTACAATGGATCAAGTTTACATGGGTTTAGCAGGAAATGGGATCTAAGTAAGGAATTGTTGATACTGTTGGGCAAATGCAACCATAATCTTTGACTGTTGGTGATCTATCTTCCTGTTCTGCTACCCACACGGTGCTGCTTCAAACCAAGAGATATATGAATCTGAGTCAGAACATTGATCCATGGGGCGGCGTAGTGTTTTCTACTCTGATGGTGGGTGGAGAGGAGACTGCCGAGAGAGGGCTGGGTCTACAACTGCCTTCCCACAGTGGAAAAAGATGGGCATCTGTCTGTCTGGGGAGACAACTGGATACAAACTCCACCGAAGTCCCAATATCCTTCAAGCTGCCAGGAATGCCCTTGGCAATAGAGGCTCTCATGTCCCTCCATTTAAATGCAAAACTCCTCAGGGCCAGACTTCAGTGGAGTTAATTAATAATAATAATAATTTTAATTTTTGTATTTGTTCTTAAGACATGACCTGGATGGGAGTGGGATTTGAGTGTAGGGCAAAGAGCACAACAGTTTCAAGCCAAACCCCAGATAGCTTACCCTGGTTAGCCTCCTTGCCACAACTGCTTTCTCCTACTGGAAACTAGGAGGAAGTGCTTTTTGGTGGGCTCTTTCCTAATCAGACCACTCTCTCAAAGGCACTTCCTCTCAGTTCCAGGCATGCTGAGAGAAGGAGAAAATGCAACTGTGGGTAGCATAGATAGGGGGTGGGAAGGAAAAAAGGGAGGTGCTTCCTTCTTTCCTCTCTTATGTCCCTTCCACCCTGCTGTGGATTTTTGATGGATGCCACTAGTAAGTTATTGTTGTCATTGTTAATCTCTTGATGTGCAGGGCGGCCTGTTCAATGATCCTGGAATGCAGAAGATGCACATCGGCAAGACATCCTGACTGAAAACCTACGTGGTTTGCAACAGCAAAGTAAGTCAACCCGTAGACTTGATTAAAATTAAATTAGCGTATTTTTCGCTCTATAGGACACACTTTCCCCCCTCCAAAAATTAAGGGGAAATGTGTGTGCGTCCTATGGAGCGAATGCAGGCTCCTTGGCTTCAGCGATAGCAACGCGAAGCCTCTGAAGCGCACAGGGAGCGCTCCCTCCGCGCTCTGGAGGCTATGCGTTGCTTTCGCTGAAGCCTGGAGAGCGAGAGGGGTCGGTGCGCACCGACCCCTCTCGCTCTCCAGGCTTCAGGGATAGCCACCTGAAGCCTTTGGAGTGCAGCGGGAACTTGCGCTGCGCTCTGAAGGCTTCGGGTTCCTTTTGCTGAAGCCGGGAGAGCAAGACTCTCCCGGCTTCAGCAGAGAGGGAGAGCTGCGCAGTGCACCTTCAGCGAAGCAGGAGGAGAAATGGAAGGGGCTCCGTTTCTCCTGCCGCTTTGCTGAAGGGGCGCTGAGCAGAGAGGGGGAGAAATTTTTTTCTCCTTGTTCTCCCCCTCTAAAACAAGGTGTGTCCTATGGTCTGGTGCGTCCTATAGGGCGAAAAATACGGTGCCTGCTTATCCTGCCGCTGTTTGAGGAGACACAAGTCAGTATATACCGGTGTCCCACAAACTTCACAAATTGAGGGGAGCTGGGTGAAGAGGAAAATACTTATTTCTTTGTTGCTTTTATGTCCCACTTCTATCTCTAAGGAGCTCAAGGTGGCATGTGTGATTGTTTCCCCTCCTTATTTAAACCCCACAGCAACCCTGTGAAGTAGGTTAGCTGAGAGGCACTGACCAGCCTCTGGTCACCCAGTAAGCTTCATGGCCAAGTGGGGATTTGAACAATGGTCCGTCAGGTCCTACTCTGACACTCTAACCACTACACCACACTGTGCACAGTTGCACAGTGAAGCTGTTGTCTGAGTGTGGATTTAAGCATTAGTATCAGATCAGGAAATGCAGCCGTCAAAGGTATAGTGTGTCTTCCTTCCACATCATTAGCATTCAATAGCTGAGGTTCGGCAATGATCAGCCCAGCTTGGAACCACATACTGAATGATGTATGACAATGAAACTGGGAGACTTGAGCACTCAGATCTTATCATAAACAAGAGATGGTCGTGAGCTGAGAAGTGATATTGAATATTTTATTCCATAGGGGAAACCAGCAGTCCAGTTCTTGATACTGCTAATCGCCACAATTTCAATTTTTTTTAATCCAACGCAATAAATCACGAGTGGTTAGAACTCCATGGTCTTCTCTTCCTTGACCTCCAGTTCCTGTGTCTTTCCAGATTAAATATGAGCTTTTACAAAGGAGAGAAGTAAGGCATCGTGTCCCCATAGAACTGTCTATAGACTGTTGCTTTTTAACGTGTTCATAAAATGAACTGGAATTCGGGCAGAGCAGTGAAGTGGCCAGCTTTGCAGTGGACATGAAACGATTTCCGTGACATAAAGCGAACAAACAATTCAGAAAGGTGACAAAGATTGCAAATGGTTAGCAATGGACTTTAGGCCAAAGAAATAATCTCTCTGGTTCAGAGGAATGAGAGCAAGAGGAGCCCCAAGCACAGGCCCAGCGGGAGCGTGGCTTTCTCAGATTACGACACACAGCAAAGTGCCCAAGATGCAAACACCCCCTGCAATTACAGTAGACCCGCAATTTGCACGTGATTTATTTACACGACTGCAGCTTTGCACAGGTGGCACTGGCAGCTCACACTTACACAGACATGCTACACCCTTAGGGACCCTTTCCCAGGGAGGATGGCCAGTTTGTGGATACTCCAAGTTCAGATCCTTCTCTCAAATATGCAAAGGTTTGAAATAACACTGAATATCATTTTGCTGAAGAAAATATGTATTTTCAGGTAAAGTCCTTTCTTTAAAGGATTTGAATGTTCGGTTCAACCTTGCATGGCAAATTTTGATACATGCTAAAGGGAACAACCTGGCTGATCATCAAACAGCCATGAACATTAATGCGTTTAGTTGTTGTTGTTGTTTAGCCGTTTAGTTGTGTCTGACTCTTCGTGACCCCATGGACCAGAGCATGCCAGGCACTCCTGTCTTCCACTGCCTCCCGCAGTTTGGTCAAACTCATGCTGGTAGCTTCGAGAACAGTATCCCACCATCTCGTCCTCTGTCGTCCCCTTCTCCTTGTGCCCTCCATCTTTCCCAGCATCAGGGTCTTTTCCAGGGAGTCTTCTCTTCTCATGAGGTGGCCAAAGTCTTGGAGCCTCAGCTTCAGGATCTGTCCTTCCAGTGAGCACTCAGGGCTGATTTCCTTCAGAATGGAGAGGTTTGATCTTCTTGCAGTCCATGGGACTCTCAAGAGTCTCCTCCAGCACCAGAATTCAAAAGCATCCATTCTTTGGCGATCAGCCTACTTTATGGTTAGCTGGTTCCATTTCTGCCCCACCTTTTCTGAAATATATCTATATTTTAATAGCGCATATGTGTTAAGTGGGGGGGGGATTCTGTTAGCTGCCTAGAACCATCTTGTTCTCGGCTCATTTCCTAAGTTTTTCTGAGTCATCCAGAAAAAGACTAAAACATTGCTGATTCATTTCCAGATGGCAAAAGTTGACGGTGTGATAAATGAGGATGCTGCCAGATTTGAAATTCTTTGGCACTGCTTGGTAAGATGTGTCCATTCCAACCTTGTACGCCTGTTATCATCAGATAAAGAATGTATGGCTTTTCCCTATGCATTACCCAAAGCTCTCTTGAAGTCTGGCACTTTGAAAAGGGCTTTGTGGTTTTCTAGGGTTCTAGGTGCCTAGGATGTGGCAAAATGAACCCAATGTGGACAAGAATAGGCCAAAGTTTTGACCTCTGCATGTAAATAGCATTGATTATAAAACAACATTTGCGAGAATATTTTTTTTAAAGGATAGAAAAGGGGTAATACCAGAAAAATCCAGTCTGCCTAAAAGCATTCTTGCTAATTATTGTAGAAGGTTAAACAAACCTTGTCTTTGCTTTCAAGTTTAAGCTGCAAAGGATGGATAATACCTAAACAATATATCGTCTCCTAGTGTCTAAATCCATTGCTACAAATCCTATATTGAATTCCACCCAAAGGATCTCCAGAAATGTATATATGAAGGCATACAATAATACAGTGGTACCTCGGGTTAAGAACTTAATTTGTTCCGGAGGTCCATTCTTAACCTGAAACTGTTCTTAACCTGAAGCACCACTTTAGCTAATGGGGCCTCCCACTGCAGCCACACGATTTCTGTTCTCATCCTGAAGCAAAGTTCTTAACCTGAGGTACTATTTCTGGGTTAGTGGAGTCTGTAACCTGAAGTGTCTGCAACCTGAAGCATCTGTAACCCGAGGTACCACTGTATAATATATTTTCTGTGAACCGCCCTGAGACCTCCAGGTATAGGGCGGTATATAAATTCAATAAATAATAATAATAATAATAATAATAATAATAATAATAATAATAATAATAATTAGACTTAACATTACAAACCCGTTTCCATCTTGTGAAAACAATGTTGGAAAGCTATGAGAAGGGTAAAAACAGAAGTCAGAAGGAGGCAAAGAAACTCATTGTAAACCTTCTTTGAGAGACTGCTGTTAATTTATAATTTTGAGGCATAAAATGTTCACATGTCTTGTGTTATTTTCTTTTTGGTTACTGTCTGCATTAATTTTGTATCGAACGAATTCTTGATATTTACAGGGCCCATGACTTAATTTCCTGTGGTAATGGCAGGACCGAAAAAGTGGATTTTGCAAGGCTTTATGGTTTCCAAGAGCCTGGAAGGACAAGCACCCGTTATCTATTACACAATGATTCAAGGACCTTGCTACATTTGAACGTATTTCTTATAAACATCAATTTTGTCTGGATATCTGTCAGGACATTTGGACGGTGTATTGACTTATGGTTGTAGCCAAGGCTAAAGTAACGATCCTGTCAGCACAAGGATATCTGCTTGTACAAAAGGGTTTTCCTCTCTTCTCCCAGGCACCCCATAGTCTGTTCTAGGGGGTCTCCCAACCTTCCAGAGCAAACCTGGGGAGGGCATGGGGTGCGCATGGGACAGGGGCCATTGCCCAAGCAGAAATATTTGCACTAAAGGGGTGTGCTAATTGAATACTACTCATTGCATTTGTTCAAACTGAGATTGCTATATTGATGGTTACTGGATTACTAATGTGAGCTGATGTTTTCTTTTTCTCTTTTGCCTTGTTTCCCTCCATTTGTTTATTTTTTTGTTGCTAAATTTGCTATAAAAATATCCCATTAAATCTTTCATCATTAAAAAGGTAGGCATTAATAGTATACTATCTAATTAATTAATTAATTAATTAATTACCGATGCCATATTGCAGAGAAGCAGTTCCATAGAGCCATTACCGTGGTACCTTGGGTTACATACGCTTCAGGTTACAGACGCTTCAGGTTATAGACTCCGCTAACCCCTCAGGTTAAGAACTTTGCTTCAGGATGAGAACAGAAGTCACACAGCGGCAGCGCAGTGGCAGCGGGAGGCCCCATTAGATAAAGTGGTACCTCAGGTTAAGAACGGACCTCCAGAACGAATTAAGTTCTTAACCTGAGGTACCACTGTACACTAAACAAGGGTTTGCATAAACCATTATTTCAAACCCAAATCATGGTTTGGGTTTACAGGCACATGAAATAACCATGATTAGGAGCTGCAAGCCTTCTCTTGTTTCCATCTGCTCAGCAGTTGTAGTTTAAAAGAAAAAAACAACAATTTGGGCTGGGGGTGCAGGTGTCCTTATAGATTGAGCAATGCCTGTCATTAGTTTTTGAATTTCAACATGGCTGGACGTACAGTGGTACCTCGGGTTACATACGCTTCAGGTTACATACACTTCAGGTTACAGACTCCGCTAACCCAGAAATAGTGCTTCAGGTTAAGAACTTTGCTTCAGGATAAGAACAGAAATCGGGTTTCGGCGGCGCGGTGGCAGCAGAAGGCAGCCCCATTAGCTAAAGTGCTGCTTCAGGTTAAGAACAGTTTCAGTTTAAGTGCGGACCTCCAGAACAAATTAAGTACTTAACCCAAGGTACCACTGTATATGCACATCACACAAAGTGAAACCCATGGTTTAGTGGAAACGCACAATATATTACTTAACCTTCTAGGAAGGAGACTGCTGCGACTTTGCTCCTTCACAGGCTTTTCAGCTCAGGACTGCTTAACTGCTTAGCGGTTAAACAAAGGTTTTGCTTCACATGAGGCTGATTGTGCTTCAAGTCTCTCTTCCTCATCACAATCTGTAACTGAGCCAAAGTAAAAGGGAGCTGCTCTTAAGAAGCCAGTGCATTTATGTGGTCACAGTAAGCCATAACAAGGTAAAGGGACCCCTGACCATTAGGTCCAGTCGTGACCGACTCTGGGGTTGCGGCGCTCATCTCGCTTTATTGGCCGAGGGAGCTGGCGTCCAGCTTCCGGGTCATGTGGCCAGCATGACTAAGCCGCTTCTGGCGAACCAGAGCAGCGCACGGAAACGCCGTTTACCTTCCTGCCGGAGTGGTACCTATTTATCTACTTGCACTGTGTGGTTTCAAACTGCTAGGTTGGCAGGAGCAGGGACCGAGCAACGGGAGCTCACCCTGTCGTGGGGATTCGAACCGCCAACCTTCTGATCGGCAAGTCCTAGGCTCTGTGGTTTAACCCACAGCGCCACCCGCGCACAGTAAGCCATACTCCGGCTTTTTGGGATGTGCGAACTGGGCCACAACTAGCACCAGCTGTGGCTTATAACTTCCTTTCAAACTGTGGTTTCTGATTCTGGTTTGCTCATGGATTGCAAACCTTGACGTGTCCATTCAGACATCACAGCAAACAATGGCTTTGGTGTGATGCCTGAATATAGTTATAGCAGAACCAGTTATATCATGTATTGTTTGGCCTAGCTGTCTATACAAATCCTCACGCATTTCCATACTCCTCAAGTAGAACATTGACCAGGGAGTGGGGGGGTGGGGGACTGGCAGGAAAAGTATTTCTGAGGAGATTCCTACAATCTACTCCCAAGCTTCTGCTGCTACGAAATGTAAAGATGCATAATAACGTTTTTCATTTCCCCCCTTGTCCCTGTATTTTGTTTTAAACAGACTTTGGGGCAAAGCGGAGGAGATTCGAAAGCGGCACGCTCAGGGTCTTGAGTCTTTTTCCAGTTTTTGCATGAAGGCACTAGGTGAAAGTTTAATTGTTTTATTGTGTTAATTGGATAAACGAATTATTTTCTCTCTCTGAGTATACAAGGTGAACCTCTCTTCATCAGAGGAAGCGTGTATAGGGATGGTGCTATATAAACGGCCTTGGTCCTGTATACCTGAAGTAGCGTCTCCATCCCCATCATTCAGCCCGGACACTGAGATCCAGCGCCGAGGGCCTTCTGGCGGTTCCCTCATTGCGAGAAGTGAGGTTACAGGGAACCAGACAGAGGGCCTTCTTGGTAGTGGCACCCGCCCTGTGGAACACCCTCCCTTCAGACGTGAAGGAAATAAGCAGCTATCCTATCTTTAAAAGACATCTGAAGGCAGCCCTGTTTAGGGAAGTTTTTAATATTTAATGCTGTATTGTTTTTAACACTTGATTGGAAGCCGCCCAGAGTGGCTGGGGAAACTCAGCCAGATGGGCGGGGTATAAATAATAAATTATTATTATTATTATTATTATTATTATTATTATTATTATTATTATTATTAAATACTGCTAACAATAATTTCAGACAGGTGCATGTTGGGAATGGGTTTGCAGTGAGCTCAGATGGCAGTGTTGAAGGTGGATTCAGACCTGGGAGATGGATAAAGTCCCAGTAAAGTCTCTGTTACTGTGCTAGTGAAGGTGTGTGTGTGTGTGTGTGTGGTTTGTTATGTTGATTAATGTATTGCACTTGGAAGAGATTTTACAGACATTTGCAGTATCGTCTGCTGTAGGAATGAAACTATCTTTCTATATGTCTCGCCGTGAGCAGGATTCCCCAGCGTGACATCTGTGGATGGAACCAGTAGAAGAACTGTGTGCATCTGTGCTCTCCAGTTCTACAGAAAGAGAATTTATAGGTGAGATAGAACCGTCCAAAAAAGAAAGTGTGGTTTCTATCAAATATCTCATCCTGGTCTCGCTTTATGCACGGTGTGGCTGGAAACACACTTTCTAGCTGGTCTTTACTAATCTTCATCACTAATGGCAGTACAGTGGACACTCGGGTTGCGAACGTGATCTGTGCGGGAAGCACGTTCACAACCCGCAGCATCCGCAACCTGCAGCGCCGCATCTGCGCACGCGCGTGATTTAACGCTTCTGCGCAAGTGCCGAAACCCGGAAGTAACCCATTCCGGTACTTCCGGGTTCGGCACGGTGCGCAACCCGAAATCGCGCAACCCGAAGCGTCTGTAACCCGAGTTATGACTGTATAGATGTCCTCACTTTCTCCTCCCTCCTCTCTTCTGCATCTTTCTCTCAGGTGGCCGTTGTGTAGTTGTGCTTTCCTTATGAGGCAACACTGGGGTGGGCGAGTGGCAGCACTGAGCAGCATGCGCTTCATGCCAGGCCCTTCCCCTGAGAAAGATTGGGCAGGGAGGGGACTGGGCAACTCCAGTTTCAAATCCATGTTTCTTTGGTGGGGAAGGATTAGCCCCCCCCCTTTCCCACTTCTCACCTTCATGGGGTGATTGCCAGCATGAATTGCCTCTTTCCTTGGCTGTTAACTTGCCTGTGCCAGCCTCACACCCATCTCCCCAAATTCGTGCCATGAAGTGTCTTCTAGTTATTCCGCCCTAGTCTGTAGGATTCTTAAAGCCCTCAGGGGCCATGCCATACCTACTTTTCAGGCTACTATTAATATCATTGGTCTAAATCCTCCTATCGGATGTTTCTGCTTTCTAGGAAACTATGAGATCCCAAGTGAGTACGAGGAAGAGATTCCTCCTGGAGATGATCCAGAGAAGGTGCAGCAAGATGAGCTTTTACCGAGACAAAATGAAGAAAATGCTCCTCAAAGTCATGGAGGAGCCATTGAAGATGAGCAGATGCAAGACAGTTGTCCTGATCAGCAGCATAATGAATCTGCAGATCAAGATGGTACCCTGGGACTCCTCCAAGACATCGTGTCTCCACCTGGGAATTCCCTTGGGAGTAGAACCTTTCCGTTACACCAAAGGTGTGGAGAGCGTCCAATACAATTCAAGCCTTAATGTCCAACCTGAGATCTCTCCAGTGGGAGAGAAGCCTCATAAGTGCACTGAATGTCGCAAGAGCTTCAGCTGGCGCTCTGACCTTATTAAACACCAGAGAATTCACACGGGGGAGAAGCCCTACATATGCAGTGAATGTGGGGAGAACTTCACGGTGAGCTCTCACCTTTTCACACATAGGAGAATCCATACCGGAGAGAAGCCTTTCCTTTGTCCCGAGTGTGGGAAATGCTTCAGTCGGAACTCGCACCTTGTGAACCACCAAAGAACCCACACGGGAGAGAAACCCTTTGAATGCAGCGAGTGCGGGAAGAGCTTCAGCGATTTCTCAACCCTGACTCAGCACCAGAGAACGCACACAGGTGAAAAGCCCTATATATGTGTTGAGTGTGGAAAAGGCTTTATACAGAGTTCGCATCTCGCAAGGCACCGGAAAACCCACATGGGAGAGAAACCCTACAAGTGTGCCGAGTGCGGCAAAGGCTTCCGATACAAGACGCACCTCGTACAACACCACAGACTTCACATAGGATAGGAAAGCGGGGCAGGATGACTGCCTTGCCTATAAAAGCTAATGAATGTTCTAAGTTTCATGGGGAAATGAAATAAAGAAGGAACCTTAAGAAACGTAGCGTTTTTAACTGTAGTGAACAGAGGCCAGAGCTGTACTTTAAGTAGGAAACATGTTTGCTGTGTATAAACCATTGCTTGCCAAGTCAGTGTTTAAACTATGGGTGGCATGTATGTCTGGAAATCCTGGCCAAATTTATGTGGAAGGACTTGTGTGGCACTGGGGCAACAGCCAGTAGGGTGGAGCTTCCCCAAGCAACAGGGAGGGAGGCTGGATGTTGCAAGTCAGGGAATTTGGGGAAGTGGGTGAGTATAGTTGATGGATTGATGAGTTGGGTTAGGGAAGCAGACTTCAACAAAGAATGGGAACTTTGGACCTGTAGAGATACAGTCACCAAGACCTCAGCTGATGTGCAGTGAGAGGAACACTTTGTCCTTGTTTAGCGAGCAGAAAGCATGCTGTGTTGTGTAGTTGATTCCAAATGGTGATTTTGGAAACCCCTCCCTTTTTCATCTGCAGGTGGGAAAATTCCCCTTCGTCTTTCACGCAATATCTCCCCTGATTGCATTGATGTTTTTTTTAAAAAAATTATATGTATACGCATGCTGCTCTAGGGGCTCAGCTGTCCCTGGTTTGGGGGGGGGAGAGGAAATGGAAGAGCATTTGAACATGTTAATGTTTACTTTTCACTGAAATAAAACCTTGGGTTTTTTTTAATATAAAAAAGAGTTACCTATTCTTCCATTTTCAACCTGTGCTTGGATTTCTGGTTGAAATTGTGTTTGGGTATCTGGAAAGGACGCGGGTGGCGCTGTGGGTAAAACCTCAGCGCCTAGGACTTGCCGATCGCATGGTCGGCGGTTCGAATCCCCGCGGCGGGGTGCGCTCCTGTCGTTTGGTCCCAGCGCCTGCCAACCTAGCAGTTCGAAAGCACCCCCGGGTGCAAGTAGATAAATAGGCACCGCTTACCAGCGGGAAGGTAAACGGCGTTCCATGTGCTGCTCTGGCTCGCCAGATGCAGCTTGTCACGCTGGCCACGTGACCCGGAAGTGTCTCCGGACAGCGCTGGCCCCTGGCCTCTTAAGTGAGATGGGCGCACAACCCCAGAGTCTGTCAAGACTGGCCCGTACGGGCAGGGGTACCTTTACCTTACCTTTTATCTGGAAAGTGTTCAGATGCACTTAATGGACGGTGAAAATATTGCACTCTATACAGTCCCTAGGGTGAAGAGGCACCGTAGAGTAGAAGGATTTGTTAGCTGGCATGACTTGGGGGCCAGAGTATAGAACCAGCAGGATCAGGTGGTAACTATTTTATGGACCGTACTAGAGAAAAATAGGAAACTGAGATGAGAACCAGGCCAAACCCTTCTTTGCACCATATTCTTTAAGAATGTACTTTTTCCTCACCCGCCCTTTATTGGCAGCACACCTCATCACCCTTATCACAAAAACCATTGCCACTTGATCATGCTGATTCTATAAAATGGCCCTCAAACTCAATTTAAAAAAACCCACACACAACACTTGTTGCACAGGTCATACTTGTCCTGTTGATTTTATATATGCATTGCTATTATTAACATTTCTCTGCTAGGTGCTTGCAAGTAACCTGTATGTGACAAATCACTGCTGTCCTTGCAGTTTTGAATGGTGACAGGAGCAGATGGCGGCCCATGAGAGCTGGTGAAGAACTCTGCAGGGATCTGCTTGATCATTAATGTCCACAGTGAACGAAAGTGTTCTTGTACTTCATTCAGGGTGTTACAGAAAGTGGGTTCCACACTTTGGGTGCTCTGTTTCCTCCCAGCTGACCCCCGCCCTCCTTACTTCCTGCCTCCTCTTCATCCTGCCATGGAGGTCAACCTTAGAGGGTCTTGTTTTTCAGGTAGGCCCTTCTCAGTGGAGCTACTTTGGCAATCCACTGGCTTGTAAGCTCCTTGGCTTCTTCCCATTTGTAGCGAGGTGCATAGCCAAAATCCCTTTGAGCTTTTCTGGAAGAAAAGCTAAACGGGGTATTGACCAAGGTCACAAGGTGAGTGTTGATGCGGGGAATGTATCTGACAAAAGGCCGGAGTAAGAAACTCACAATCTCCAGCAGCAGAGAATAGTAATAGAACATTGTCAAGGGCATTGGTAGTTTGGGTTCAATACCAAACCCCAGCTCCTTGCTCAGCTCATAATTTAAGTCCGAATAGCTCATGTGGGGAGTGTCATCTGTGATGTAATAGAATTTTCCTCGGATCCGCTTGACCTTTTCTGGATCCCTCATGGCTTTCGCCACTTGAATGTGAGCCGAAGCAATGTTCCCTACGTAGATGGGATTTACGAGAGCCTCCTTCCTAGATAGCCTTATAAAGACGTTATTGTTTTGGATGCTTTCATCGAGATGGCCCAGAAGGAAAGGACTTCCTTCTCCAAAGATGTACGGGGACCTCAAAGCGCACGTCACAAGACTGCTGCCATCTTTCAGTGGCTGGCCATCCAGCTGCTGCACAAATTTCTCCGCTACTCTCTTTGATTCAGCGTAAGGAAATTTTCTGGTATCGTGGTACACCGTGTCTTCATCGCCATCAACAATGGGGTCCCCTCTTCTGTTTGGACCCATCACTTCAATGCTGCTGGTGAAGACAAAATACTGGACGTTGTTGTGGAAGCAGGCATCCAGGAGCAGCTGTGTACCTTTGCCAAAAAGAAACACGTTAGCAAGGCTGGCTCAGGTTTTGCTACCAGAGGTGGAAAAATGAAAAGAACATTTCCCCGCTGTCTCACACACATGTGCCCTCTGCCATTTTTAGTGATGACCCAAACCCACCAGCTCATTGCATTGTGCCAGGCCTGTCTTTGTGAAGAACTGCCTGCATGAAGCAAGGTGGCCGGTGTTCCCTGTGAGAGGGGCACCTGCTAGGAAGTCGAAAGCCTCTGTAGCTCCTCCCCAGCTTATCCGTTAAAAGTGGGTCTACTTACTACACAACATTTCTGGAAATTTTGACCTGAGGCTTAATTTGAGCCCCTTTTCCGTTCAGTGTTGTCCTACCACTCATTCTGCATGACGTACATCAGTGTGCATAAAAATCCCTCAACGTGTACTAAAACACACCAGGGAACAGCCTATACTAACCCCTTCTCCCTGATGCACTGGTCTTCTACATGCAGGGAGGTTTCTTTTTAAAGAAAAGTGGTTATTCAAACATGCAGTCCTGTCCAGAATCCACTGACTTCAGACTAGTCCCTCGTTTTGTAACAGGAGCCTCTTACATAGACGGTGGGCTTATGGGAGCATTTCATATCAACGTTTAAATGCAGAACATTGTGCACTAAGCATCTGCAGCTGAAACTGCAGTGTAAAGTGGAACAATCTATTCTACCATCTCAGGACTCTGCCTCTCTATCCCTACCCCATTCTGCACTGTGTCACTCTAGCTTCCCAAGAACAGCTCTGACAGGCTGGGGGGTGGCTGTGTATTCCTGACAGTGACATGGAAAGGAGGCAACAGAGGCTATATTGTGTTGTAGTACATCAGCAGGTGGCTGAAGGAGGCCTAGGAAGCAGGAGGTAAAGATAAAGGGACCCCTGACCATTAGGTCCAGTCGTGGCCGACTCTGGGGTTGCGATGCTCATCTCGCTTTATTGGCCGAGGGAGCCAGCGTACAGCTTCCGGGTCATGTGGCCAGCATGACTAAGCCGCTTCTGGCGAACCAGAGCAGCGCACAGAAACGCTGTTTACCTTCCCGCCAGAGTGGTATCTATTTATCTACTTGCACTTTGACGTGCTTTCGAACTGCTAGGTTGGCAGGAGCAGGGACCGAGCAACAGGAGCTCACCCCGTCGCGGGGATTTGAACCGCCGACCTTCTGATCGGCAAGTCCTAGGCTCTGTGGTTTCACCCACAGCGCCACCCGCGCCCCAAGAGGACTCGTGGCAAAAGGTTGAAACTGAATATTTTGCCTGTGTGTATTGCTTGTGATAGGGACGCGGGTGGTGCTGTGGGTAAAACCTCAGCGCCTAGGACTTGCCGATCGCATGGTCAGCGGTTCGAATCCCTGCGGCGGGGTGCGCTCCCGTCTTTCGGTCCCAGCGCCTGCCAACCTAGCAGTTTGAAAGCACCCCCGGGTACAAGTAGATAAATAGGGACCGCTTACCAGCGGGAAGGTAAACGGCGTTTCCGTGTGCTGCGCTGGCTCGCCAGATGCAGCTTGTCATACTGGCCATGTGACCCGGAAGTGTCTGCGAACAGCGCTGGCTCCCGGCCTATAGAGTGAGATGGGCGCACAACCCTAGAGTCTGGCAAGACTGGCCCGTACGGGCAGGGGTACCTTTACCTTTTATTGCTTGTGATACCAGGCCACCCTCTCCCAGAGGTTGTTGTTGCTGCAACAGAAACCACCTTCCCTGCTCTGAATTTCAGCTTCCTGGGGGCAGGCTGTGGTTGGTCAGCAGTGAAGGAAAGACATGTTCAATAAGCAGCACATATGGCTCTTCATTGGTAAACTATTCTGATCTCCGCCAACAATTTCTAGATCAACTCTGCTTCCCCAAATGGAAACCAGAGTTGGAGGTCATACATTTTCTATTACTGGGGAATGATCAGGAGCTCACCAAGTTACTGGCTAAATATCTCTATTTGGTTTTTTTGTCATCGAAATACACTGCAGACATCTGATCTCCCTGGAGACCCAGAGATGCGACGATAGACTGCCTCCTTTCCTTTAGCAAATGTTTTGTGCCACTGGGGAAGTGGTAATTCTGTATCGATTTGGTTTGGATGTTTGTATGTGATGCCAATAAAAGGTTTGGTGATGAATAAGCAGCACAAATCACCTTGCTGAGGTCATTTCAATCGTCTTCCAAACGGTCCTTTCCAGGTGTGTCCCACCAGGATTTCCCTCCGCACAACCCAGTCTTACCTTTCGTGTTGACATCCCAAAGTGTCTGTTTGTCTATATATCCCAAGACGTCGATGATGCAAGCCGTGTGGATGACAAGAGAGACACCTTGGGTAGCCGTGCGGAGGAACGCTGCATCCCGGATATCCCCTTGGATGATTGTCAAGGGAGTTTTAGTCTTCAGTTCTGGAAATTATGACATCAGATAAAGGGGTGATCAGCTGTTTGCCTCCGTGGGTTCACTAAAGAACAGGAGAACCCCTACCATTTAATCTATATCAAGGAGCAGCCAAAACGACATGTTTCTCAAGACTTTGGCTGTGTATATACTCAGGGCCGGATTTAGGTTTGATGAGGCCCTAATAAATAATAATAATAATAAATTTTTATTTATATCCCGCCCTCCCCAGCCAAAGCCAGGCTCAGGGTGGCTAACAACAATAAAATAATACAACATTCTAAAACCATTTCATTATAAAATTAATTCAAAATCAAATTGATGGCAACCATTGGGCTAGAGTTCTGTGAAGATTGCCAGAGGAGGGAAT